CCCCCCCACCCCAAAAAGTGCATAATGGCGGAGATGAATCAGCTCGGCGCCGCTGACCCGAGAGCTCCGCGCGGGCGGCGCGGCGCGGCGCGGCGCAGCACCGCCGTCCGCGGCGCCCTCTCCCCGAGCGGGGCTGCTCGCCCAGGTGGCCCCGAGGCAGGCGGCGCCGGCGCGCCGCCCGGGCTCCCCTCCACCCCCACCCGGGTGGGGGGCTCGCTGTGCAGAAGCGGGGAGCGGTGCCGGAGGGCGAGGGAGCACCGCGCTCGCCCTCATCGCGATGCAAGTTTGCAGAAGCCGCCCTGCCCTACCTTGGCCGGCGGGAGCCGCCGCCGCCGCCGCGATGTGCGCGTTCAAGTTTGGCTTGTAAGACATGCCGAGCAGCAGCAGCGACATGGGCGACCGGCGGCTGCAGAATGCCCCGAAGTGCGCGGCGCGTGGCGCCCTCCTTCGCCCTCGCCCTCGCCCTCGCCCGGTGCCCGCCCGCCCGCCTTCCTTCCCTCGCGCCCGCCTTCCCTCCCCAAGACTTTGGGGCTTGTTTACGGCGAGGCGGACGCGCTCCGCAAATATGGCCGCGTCACATATAGCGAGAGGTTGATATAGAATATGTGTCTATAGATTGCCGCTCGCTCGCTCGCTCGCTCGCCGGCGCGGATCATCCATACATCATTCGGGGGAAGAAGAAGAGGAGGGAGGTGGGGGGGGGGACTTCGAAAGAGGAGGAGGAGGAGGAGGAGGAGGAGGAGGGAAAAGTTTCACATCAGCGCAGTGGACTCCAGAGGCACGGCTCTCTTTTACTGCTGCATCTCCCGACTGCTGGAGCAATTCATTCTGTGGGCTGGAGAGGGGCAGGCTTGCCTCTTCCTTTTTTCTTTCTTTTTTTTTTAGGAAATAGTTTTCGGAGTTTAAAAACTAAAGTTTGCGGGAGAAGTTGGAGGCTGGTGAAAGAATGGGATGTGAAGGTGAGGTTAGGGGTGAGAAAGTTTTAAAGAAGGGGAGGGTTTGGGGGCGAACAGCTTTTATTTTCTAAGCAAGATTTAGTTGGGGTTTTTTGAAAGGTATTCAAAGGGATTGCAATGAGTAAAAAAATCAGGAGATAGGCAGTGCTTTAAAAAAAAAGCAGATAAATACTGCATGCTAGAAATAAAAATGACATTTGCTACTTGTGTGGGTGCTACCAAATGCTTTGCTTTTACAGATGATTCTTCACTTCCCAAACCTGTCCATTTTATTTTTTTCTATTTTAGTTTCTGACACATTTCCTAAATTAACCAAAACCAGAATTTAATATAGAAATTAATTAAAATAGTATAGCATTTATGTTTAAAATTTAAAATGAATTCATAGTTTGGGGTTTATTTGCTATCAGATATATAATTCCAATAGAAACGTTTATTAGGTGGTTTTATGAGTTAAAAACTTACCAACTATAATATTGCTTCTGATTTTAAATATAATTATTTCTAATACAAGCATTTGTAATATTAATGATATAAGTGCATACTAGAGGAGAAATTCTCCCTTCTAACATGTTGTGGCTGGGGATGATGGGATCTGTACTCCAATACATTTGGAGAACACCCATTTAGGGAGGGATTTCTTGTATATTTATATTCTGCCTTTTTCCTTTCAAGGAACTTAAGGTGGCTTACAAAATTCTCTTCTGCTCAATCTTATCCTTGCGACCACCCTGCGAGGTAGGTTGGGCTGAGAGTTCATAACCTGCTTGGGAAACCATTAGAACTATTGTACATTGCCTAATATGCAAACTCATGTGGTCCCAATTCATTGATCAAACAACTAATGCATATGATTACCAACTAAGATATTTAGGTACTGGCTCTAATAAAGATAGCAATTGTGCAGCTTTTCAGGGGTCCAAGAGTAAGATTGTTGTCTGGTTCAAGAAACCTCAGCTGATCCACTGATTTTTCATTCATGATATATTTGCATAAAGCTTCAACCACTTTGAAGGAAAATTACATATTGTCTGTTTTTAGAGGTAATCTTAAATTCTATGCACGGGGCACTTTATCTAGAAGGGAGAAGGCCTCTCCTGAGACCCTGTTTGCCAGCAATTAAAGTAGTTATTTGAAATTTACACCCATGGGCACCTCTTTTCACACCTCTCTCTAGTCTTTGAGATCTTTGCCCTACTCAGCACCCTGCTTCAGATATCTTTATTTTTGTTGGACTTCTGCAAAACTGGGGCTGTGCCAGACACTGCTGATATCTGCCTCTTGCAGAGATATGGTGCTGTTTCAGCTACAGGATTGGCACTCATCCCTGGACAGCAGAAACGGAAGGGGACAGTGACTGTCCACTCTGTTCTGGCATGTTTCCCAATGGGAAGCAGGCAAGCCCAGAATGGTGGTTCAGGCAGAAACAGGACCTTTCTAAGGCAATTCTGCCATGCAACTTTATTGGGAGAGACTTAATGCACACCTGATGCAGAGATGGAGCTGGATTTTCCATCATTGGCTCAGGCTGATTAGGAGGAGGTAAGCCCAGAGCAGTTAATCAGGGGTAAATGTTGGCCTGGGACTCTGGAGAGTTACTCTTAGTCCCTTGCTTGGCTAGGCGGCTTGACTGGCTTTAGGCCAGTCACTGACTCAGCCTAGCCTCCCTCGTGGGGTTGTTAACGAGGATAGTGAAAGGGAGAAGGACCCTCATGGAAGCAGCCTAGGATTCCTTGAAGAGGACAAAAGTTCCGATATAAATATGATAACAGCAGCACCAATAAGAGTATTTCTAGGACCCATCTAATAAAAAGTGCAAATAGCCAGCAGCATCGGCCCGAACGTCATGCAGTATGAGGTGGCTGCTTCAAGCATCCGATTCTGAAACATTTTTGCTATCGTTCCTAAATAATAAGTAACTCTTTGGCAATATGGAAACACTAATCTGCCTGGCAGAAATTCCTTTGCTGCCCAAGAGGCGCAGAGCGATGCTTGCCGAGTTTTCTGTCTCGGGTGCCAAAATGGCTGGGCCAGCCAGGGTGGCTGTGCGCTGACGCAGCGGCTTTCTCCGCAGCAGCCCCGATGCGTTGGCTGGACCCTCTTCCTCAGGGCATAAAGCTTGCAGTGGGTTACAGGACTGGCCAGAGAAATAATTCCTTTTCTCAGGGAGCCTAGTCTCAGGGGGTAGGGCTGCTTCCATGGCCCCTTCAGGGCTATAAAGCCAGGCCTCCTGCTGCCACCCCTGAGTCTATCCATCCCCGAGTTTTATTTAACCATCGTTTTAATAAGGGTTTTGGATGTTTTAAGTTCTTTTAAATTCTCTGTTCTCACAGTCACATTTTCTATTTTCTGTTTTTAGTTGATCGTGTTCAGTGTATATGCTTTTAATAATCGTGGTTTTATTATTGTATTATTTTAATGTTATACTATGTAAGCCATCCTGAATGCTTATGTGGAAGGACGGGATACAAATCTTTGAAATAAATAAATACACACACTTGCACTCTTGTTACAAGTGGCTGTGAGGCCTGTTGTGGTGGCAGGGCCAGCTCTACTGTTAGGCATGGCAGGTAGTTTCCTCAGGAAGCAGAATTAGGGATGTCACAAAATGGCGGCCAATGTTTTGTTATTTAGCTGGCTGGGCATGCTGGGAGTTTTAGGCCTTTTCTACAGGCATAGACTTGCCTGTTCAATATATTCTAGTTTGACTGCCAGGGTGGAGAGATTTGCTTGTGGAATTTCTGCTGCAAGTACCTATGTAACTTTTTTTTCTTTTAAATAAGTTTTATTTGAAATTATAATCCTAAAAAAAAAAAAAAAAACCAACTTCCATCATCAAAAACATTGGGCCTGCTGGGTCAGCCCCCACACCCTTCTTTTTCCATTTATGATAACTTAAAAACATATTTAAATCTATGTGAAGTCCCGTTTCTCTAGCCAATAATAAAAAGAGTCCCAAGTTTGATAGAAGGGCCCATGTAACTTGTTGGCCAGGCAAAGTATCTGGCCCGGCTTGGGGACAGGCTGTAGTTCTGTGGGAGTCGCTGCTTTTCTTGCCATGGGACCCGGGTTCGGCCCCCAGAAGCTTCCCTAGGCAGGGCTGGGAACAACTCTTCCCTGCAAGGCTGCAGAGCCACCATTACCTGTTGGTGTCAGCAGCACTGTGCTAGATGGACCTCCTTTATTCGAGTTACCTGAACCTGAGTGAGTGGAGCAAGAAGTCAGTCGGCCTTTCCCAGTTTGCCTTCAGCCGAAAACTCATGCTGGTACGACATCAGCAGCTCTCACCTGCCAAAGTTTTTACCACAGGACTGTGGATGTTGTGCTCTTTCACCAGAGGTGGGGTAAGAAAGAAGAGACACTGTTTGCTGCTCCACTTCAGGCAAAAATGGGTCTTGTGCAGGTATTGGGGAGGGGACAACAACACTGTCCCCATGAACACTAGTAACATGCCCAAGAAAATAGGCATGTTGAAATGAGGTGGAAGTGGAACACCATGGATTTTTGGGCCTTAGCGAGGCCATCCGGTTTATTTTCCCCAAGTTGGTGTGTTGCTACTTGCAACCTCTTCCTCTTGCAAGTAAAAGCATGCAAAATTACGCATCTTAAAAAGCTCTATTAAAAATGCTCTACATCCTTTCCAGCAGGGGTTGTCAATTCTTGAAGGGGGACTTTCCAGAAATGGGGACCACACAGGAGAAAGTCCTCATCTCTGTGCCTGACAACCAGGCCTCTCTAGAGGATCTTGATACTCCTCAGGCAAGAAACATAGCAAGACAGGTGGCTTCTCTGGGAGGGTCCTCCAGCTGCAGCTGCATCATGGTGGCTTTGATTCCTGTGCCAGGGCTACATTTGCCCTCCAACACGACCACACTTCTAAGCTGGCTTAGTTCCACTATGAGTACCATACAATAAATGGACCTATTCATTATTGCCACTCCATCTAAGCCTTCCTCCTGCTCATGTTGGCTTATGCTTAGGGTGAAGAGTTGACAGGAGATGCATCTGCTGCCACTCCCAATGTCCTCCCTACTTCACATTTTGAATGACTATATTAGACCCCAAAACAGGAGGTGCACCTTGGGAACGTTCCCTTCTGACTCATACCGACACGTTAATACCTCTCAGGTCCAGCTTCGAGCATCTGCATGGAAGGTCACCTGCTGGGTCTCACCAACCATCTCTGGGACGTGCTCCTCTTCTTCACCACCACAAATTGCTTGTCCATCTACCTCTGGCTTATGCCCAGGCGTGGCGACGGTGCTGACAAGCAATACCTCACTGCAGTCCTAGTGCGTAACAACTGGTGGTCTTCTAATGGCAGAATGGGAAGCCCAGTTGGGTCTTGGGAGTCTGTTGGCTCCAGTCACCTGGAACCACAGAATGCAGGAATTCTGCCCAAAAGCCTCGATACATTTTGTCATAGTTCATCTGGTCCTGGCTGCCTGGCTAGCCTCTCCAGCAAAAGCAGCGACTTGTCTGCAGCCAAGCAGCATCTTCAGGAAAACCCAACAGACACGACACTCCGCCCTATCTCTTGGAGGTCATTTTCCTGCAAACCACAGCTGCCATCCCTCTATGGTATGACCCAAGTCAAAGGTCCTTCAGGACATGTGCCGCTTTAGACACTCGGGTAGCAGAGATGGGGACTCTCTGGCCTCCACTTGCAGCTTCACTCCCCCTTTCTCAGATATCAAATCGCCCCCTGACCACCTCTCCAATCCCCACCCTGATATAGTAAATTTTTAAACCCCACCATCCTCTGGGATTCTCTGGAATTTGGGGAGGTCTTGCTGCAGCCAGAGGAATACAAGCTACTAAAGACAAAGTTGGCCAGTCACTGATCTCATTTCCAGGGTGATATGTGAACGGCCCTTGCACTTACCCGCTTCGCCAGACGCTGCGTCAGACCACCTGAGGATTAGGGATGCAAACGTACTGCCTAAAAGCAGTGCCTCCGAGTCAGAAGAGAGCTCCTTATCCTCTCCCTCTTTGATGCATCATGGGCCATTTTTAACAGTACTGTTTGCATAACTAACAGTATTGCACTGGTAACGTCACTGCAAAACACATGTTGTCCCATGAAAAGAGCAGACGATTCATTTGCAACTGAGAGTAGAGAAACTCTGCAGTGTCATGGGACCAGATTAATTCCCATGGATGAAAGGAGACACCACATGGTTCTATGACCACAGAAAATTGACTTCATCGTAATTTGAATGTTTCGTAAACCACCCTTGGGATCTGTGGAAAGGTGCTGAAAGTCAAAGGCATATAAACCTATAAATGTAGAAAGTGTAAGACACACATTTTCTTTATAAACATTTCTGGCAAATTTCACAGCCAAGCAAGGTTTATGCTTAGCACATACACGAGTAAAGACCACCTAGCCTCGTATGAATCCATCCACCGGCACTTAAGAGCGGTGTCGCTGCTGATCTCTGACTGGAAAGAGGCGAACAGAGACTCCGGCAGAGGCAAGATGGTGAGCACTTGGGGCTGAATGATCATGGCTGATCCAGACATTTGGCAGAAGTTGAGCTGAAAGAAGCAAGGTCAAAACAGCATCTTGTGCACAACTCAACAAGGAACCTTTTCTGAGTAAGTGCTTTAGACTCACAGTAGCCTTAAACTGTTCCATATTAAGGCATGTGGTTTGGGAATTAGTGACATAAGCTTATCTTGTGACAGACATGAAAATGTTCCTGTAACTGAACTTGCCTGATAAAACACAGCACTCATTGCTTGTTAGAACAATAGGATTTTTTTTAATTTGACACCCACAAGATTTTGGTATCTTGCAGTTCTGTGGACAGGTTTATACAATCTCAAATTTTCAATAGTGCAACCTGTGCAAGCAAGAAGAAAAATGACAAACATTGTCCTTCACTTTCTTATAAACATCTACTATTATAGGCAAAACAAAACTTACCCATATTCTTAGATAAGTGACTATTCACATTTTGTACATTTACAATTTTAAACAGCTCCAGGATAAACTCTACAATGTCTTACAACATAAACAAAAGTATTCAAGTTACGGGGCAACAGAAAAAAAGATGCAGCAGGAACTCGCGTGCTGCCCGCCTTCCCCCAATTCTAATTTACAGCTCAAGTAAGGTATTCAGTAACAAAAAACAAAATTTTAAAAAAGGGCTGTAATGTGAAATGGAAGTAAATTTGCACTTTGAGTTTCCTGAAACCTTACTGGATAAAGGGAACATCTGCAGGGGTGGGTGGGGGGAGAAACAAGGCTTTTTTAAAGCCATTCTTTCAGCTTACATTATGAACACCATTAATACATTAAAAAAAGAACTTTTAAAAATTTAAGATGTTCTCATCACACGCACGCACACACACAAAAACATGTTGCAGATTCAAATATATAACCTCTAGGAGAAAGCCAGAAAATGCAATCGCTGGGCAGATGCCATTTTCAAAAAAGGCTGCAATGAGATTGTCTCTCTCTCTGTCTCTCCAAGTTGACTTTGCTTGTGGGAGATCCTGTTCATGCCTGATCCGAAGACATGCACAGCCAAACAGAAATGGGGAACACTCTTGAATGCATGGATTGTGAACTTCTAGATTTTCATGCTGTTTCTTAAATAAATGTACTCTTTAATAGGCTGAGACCTCTGTCGCCACCAATATTATATATATATGTCTATATATGAACGCAACATACATGCATCTGAAGATCTCTCCCGCAGCGATGGCACCGATGTACTGCATTAAACCCTGAGCACTGAATGACAAGAACGGACAGCTTGGCCAGGAATTTTCAAGCCTCTTCAAAAACAAAAGAGTTGTGGTTTGTCACTCGAGTAGGACAAAAACAAACTGTAAAAAGAAGCACTACAAAGAGCACAGGGGAATAAACAAAAAGGACACATGGACCACTGTAAAGCAATGTTTGGCTTTCAGTTTGACCACCCTTCAGGTGCCTCTTTACTTCTGCAGAGTTCGAAAAGAGCATGATGGAACTGAAAGTTTATTCTTTGGAATCTGTCCCTGATATTTTAAAAAAAATGCAATGATATGCTTTAACAGCCAAATACCAAAGACACTCTCATGCATTGTTGAAGTTGGTGATGCTCTGCGGATGATGCTGCTGCCATATCTGCTGCTGCTGCACTGCAAGTTGCTGCGACTGGTCCGAGGTCGACAGGAGATTTATAAGCGGGGACACGCAATTTGCAGGAATGATCAAGCCTGCAAGAGAAGAGGGGGCTGGGCCTTACTTCACAAACACCAATCACGCCGAAACGGCCTACACCGGCCTCTCCCGATTCCCAGCCACTTTTCCTCAACCAAATGCCTGCTCTTAATCTAAACCACGCAGGACATCACTGGTGTTTTAAACCTAAGAATTCAGGAAGGTGAGCAGTACCCCAATTCCCAGGGGCAATACCCCAATTTCCCTGACCTGGTTCTCGCCAGATGTTTTGGACTATGACCCCAGCATTCCTGGCCAATGGCTATGCTGTCTGGGGCTAATGGGAATGGGAGTCTAAACCACAGAGGCCACCAGGTTGGAAATAGATACTAACTGCACTTGCTGCAGGTGGCTACACATTTTCCGAACAAGCAGTGCTGAGGCAGTGGTGCTGGTTAGAGGAGCATGGTCCTTCTGCTTGCAGGCCTCCTGTGCACCCGGAACACCATGCCGTCCTCTTGGTCCACACAGGATTTGGCTGCAACAATGAAGCTCGGCCACTCCTCCTCACACTTGGCCTCATTCAGCTCAGAGAGGGTGACTGAAGAAGCTGCTTTTGCTGTGCCGAAGGGACTGTGTGTGCCTAGTAGATTTTTCCTCCCATTTAAAAAGCAGAGTCCTCTCCTTCTGATGTAAGATGCTTCCATGACATAGGTCACAGGTTCAAATATGCTGTATTTGGGAGAAAATGATGCAAAGCGGGGGGGGGGGGGGCCTCTATCTATCTATCTATCTATCTATCTATCTATCTATCTATCTATCTATCTATCTATCTAAAACTTTTATATACCGTCCACTACCAAGGTCTCAGGACGGTCTTACAATAAAACAAATTGGAGCACAGCATCCAAATTGATTTTCTATAGAATAAAACCCCATATTAAAATCAGACCCAAGCCTCAGAATAACAACCTTCCACATCAATTCAGTGTGCGGAACAATGCTTGGGGTCCCGTCCGGGAAGCCCCCTTGCCACCAGGATGGATCTCCAGCCAATGCCGGGAAAGACTCTGTATCTTGCCACATAGACCCAAAGCCAGCGAGTGAACAGACTCACCTACAATCCTCTGCCCATCCTCTGTCCTTAGCCGTACAATCTGCATTTTGACATTTGTACCACTCACTGAAGCCAGAACTCCTTCCACCTTCGTCCAGACGCTCAAGACTGAACCACACAAAACATAGTAGGTCCGGCAGCGCAAGCCCACTTCACAAACCAGACCCAGGCTTGCCTTTTTACAATTGCCTCTCCTGAAAGGGAAATGGAAGATCAAATCCTTAAAACACACCTGGGTCGAGCTCCTTTTTCCACAGGCAACAGTGGGAAAGCTGAAGCTGCTGGCATTTTGCAGACCCTGATCAATGGCATTTTAGGTACTTACCAGTACGCGTGGGTGCAAGTGTCTGCAGATGACTTGTACTGCTCTAGCCAGTGAGCTAAGGCATCTTCAGAAGGAACCTGGAAGAGAATATTAGACGTGTAAAGCCAGAATTGGATACAGGTCCATTTCGATACAATAACAAAGCATGATTTAGCATTATGTGAAGGTGCTGAGCCCCGAAGAACCTTGTCTGTGCTGTGCTATGCACTTTTCAATGGAATTCACACATTACGGGTATATTTTGCTTTCTGCCTCCTCCAAATACACACGTGGTATATTTCTGTACAGTTGAAACTGATTTTTTAAAATTAACCTTTTTATATTTTTTCTTTATTTCTGCAGAGGTTTCCAGTTTCAGCTGTTTTCCTGTATTTGGCCTATACACCAGAAAAAGCCTCTTCTTGGGATTCACTTCTTTCACCAGGATAGCAGTTTTCTTGTTGTTTCGTATCTGGAGAAGAAAAAAACACACACACACACACAAAAGAGGTTACCAGGACTGAGCACCATTTTGGCATAGGGCACACACGTGGATCCATAATTAGTATCTCTGAGAGGAAGTTAGGCAAGCACCAAAGACTTCAGTAAGGCCAAAATCCAGCACTACCGTAAGAACCATGCGAGGCCTATTGTGGCAGGGAGTCCTCTGGCTCCTGAAGCACATTAATTCTGGCATGAGCTCTGTGGGAGTTGCTAGGAGCCCATGAAAATTCATGCCGGGATAAATCTGTTTGTCTTTAGGGTGCCTTAGGAATCCTTTTGTGTGTGTGTTAAAGAAAGCCTCGCCATGTTCAGCTTGGATTACTTCTAGTAACCACGCACAAGACTGAAGTCTTAATGCTTTACTACAACAGCAGGCCTATGAAGTGGTTTGCTAGTGACTTGGAAAGCCAGACACTCTGGGCTGGAGACAAAAGTGCCCTTCTGTGGTTAGAAGCGCGCTTCTGTACCCAGCGCTTTAGGCTTAAGCATGCCCTTGAAAGATTACAGATGGGAGAGGCTGATTACTATCTGCCATGTACCCAGATGCCTGTGGAAAGATCTGTGGCAGGAATGCCTCTGACTTCCTAATCCAGCCCTCGGTGCTGGTCCTGGATTTTGTCTGAAGGTCCTTCCACAGAGCACATAATATCCTCCCTGTCGCCAAGGGAAAGACAGAGCAAATCAGAGCAAACGAAAGGCGGGCTGCTTTCAGGCGTGTTCCATTTTTTCAAAACTTAGATCCCCAAGTCCCACAACCAGCACTTGGTACAAAGGACCTGCACTTGATCGAGTGTCAATCGCCTAGAGGTCTATTCACAGAGGTGACTTGATTTTATTTCTGTGCTGCCTAATCCAATAGCCAAAACTCTCTGAGCAGTACACAGCAGTTCAATGCACTCGCATGATACATGTTGTGCACAGTTCTGATTGCTACACACCAAAAAAAAAAAAAAAAAGAGTATCACTAAGTTGGAAAAAGTGCAGAAACAGTCAAACAAAGCAACTGGGAGGCTGGAGCCATCCAATTCTGATTTACAAAAAGCTCAGACTGAGAACACTGTCCTACCTGAAGTGATAAATAAAACCCATCCTCTGGTCCAGTCTGTTCAGCCCAAATCTTAGTAGCTTCTTCCCAAGACATTCCTCTTTCCACACTGATCTAGAATACACATTAAAGCAGAAAGGAAGTTTTGGCATAAGCGCTTCAACCACAAGTGCAGATATCCAACAAGAGGTGTCAGTAACTCACGACCCGGCTAACCGAAAGAGCCAAACTTACAGTGTACAGTTCAACATGCCCTGAGGTAGAATATCCTGGTGTTAGGAATTTTTTAGCATCTGCCTTCCTCACTTTCTCATCTCCTGAACCCAGATCTTCAAGGGGAAAAAAAGGAGAGTCACAAGATGCACATTTTACAAAACAAAACAAAACACTGCTTTAGTAATCAAATGAAATGACTGGGAGGAACCACCCGCTTCAGGTACCAGCTTCCACTCAAGGAGAATACAATACCCTCCCTGGAATTGCCAAGGGCAGTAGGGCATTAGTCTGCTCTCATACCTTGGGGTGGCCAGGTCTGAGATACTACAAACTACCATCAGCAGAAAAATGCAGAGAAGAGGGGACCTGCAGAAGAATAGATAACTAAACTGGCACTTATCAAAGAAAGTAGCCTGGAGGAACTACAACTGCATGGCCCTTGTACAGCATGATTTTGGTAACAACCTACTACTGATTCAGAGGATTTTATCGTACCTGAAAGGTGGGCATCATACAGGTACAAGGTTAAGTGGCTGCTTACATTTGCCTCAGTTACTGATTATAAACCTGGAACATCTGAATTTCTGCACTTACCCAAAATGCCCATGTCATATCTTCCATTCTTTTTAGCATTCTGTATTACTGCATTTAGTGTGTCTGAGAAATACTGGAATAAAGCATTTTGCTGATGCACCTCCATACCCAAAATACGGTTCAGGAATTTCCCTATATTGTTGTAATCTAAAAAGTGAGAGGATAAGGCAATTTAAGCAAGAATTCAGGAAGTCCACTGTACCAAAGCCAGAGTCACACAAGCTAGCAAAGATGACACACTAATGCGGATGGGCTCAATTTGTATAATCTCAAATTGTCGAACCGAGTACGGCAGGCAAAGAAGAGTCATTTTAAAACCAATGGAGTTTACATAGCTTTGCCCATACACACTAATCAATTGGTCCACTATGAAGGCGGTCTCTTAGATCAGCCTTTTTCAACCTGGTGACCTCCAGGGATTCTGGAACCACAACTCCCATCATTCCCTACCAGAATGATCAACAGCCATTCTCTTTCATTATCTGCCACCCCATATTGAGTTCGATCTGTTTAAACATGGAGGCTTGTGGTGCCTGGTTACTGATTTTAAGGCCCATAACAATTCCCATTTATTCAGACCATTCATGAAAATACAGACATTAAACGGTAAGTACCTTTGTCAAGTGTGAGAATCCCTGAACGGTCCTCTACGTTTATTAGGCCCACACCTATTAAACCTTGCCGGACATCTGGGAGGAGAAAAGTGAGATTTATTCACGGGAGATGTCATGGGTCCCACCTTAAGCACCAGCTGCAGGTTTATCAAATGCAGTAAAATTTTGAAAGAATTTTAAAATTTGAAGCACATCAGTTTGATACATATAGAAAATTCTAAAATAAATACCACAGCATGAACAGATCTGATGATTCCATAAATGGAGTAACATTAATGCTTCTCTAATCCAAGCAACAAAGAATAGATCACATAGGGAGAACCAGAACAGTTCAATCAACTTAGATGAACTCCTGAATGCACATTCAGCTGAACCACCGGATTAAGTAAACGACTCTGTCTAAATTCATCCCACAAAATAGTTTCCCCCAAGTTATAAGAGAGCATTCATAAAAATAAATCCACATACCTTTAAAGAACTCTCCTGGATAGTCAGCTGGTGGGGACACTAACGGGGAATCCAAGTTTACAATGGACTTCATTACTATTTCCAAAGCATTTCGACCATACTATTTTAAAGGGAGAGGAAGAAGCTATTGTAACCAACATACATATCGACATCTTTAAGAAAACAGCATGTTCTTTCCCTAAAAAGTAGTTGCCTCTCACATCGAGAACGTGATCTATTTTTAATGCTTGATATCATATGAAAAATGAAAATACAGGATATACTATTAAAATTCAAGAATCCTTATCTAGAAAAGAATGATGCAACAAACTTTCATTTTCCAAACAGAGCTACTGGATGAAGACAGGGGTTTATTCAAATGAACTAACATTCTTACCTTGTTGTCAAAGTTGAACCTACTCAGGTCTCTGGTTTCTGTTGCTCTTCTGTCACCATGAGTAAGAGCTCCCTGTTAAAAGACAACAGCTTTAGAATGAAGACAGGCAACCTCTTTTAAAAAAAAAAACAAAAAATCCTCTGCTACACACAGGTTTAACAAATAAGCCAGGGCGGCTTATTTTATAATGTGTGTTTTAATTAAGATTATTTTATATGGATATTTTAACTTATTGTTTTATCTATGTTGTAAACCGCCCTGAGGCTTCGGTGAATGGGGCGGCATAAAAATGGTTTAATAAATAAATAAATAAATAAAAAACTTAGAAACATTAAAGGGGAAGGGTAAAGAATACCAGAAACCAGGACAGGAAAATGCAATTCATATCACAAAAATACTGATTCTGAATGGGTATTCTAGTTCTAGTAATTAAAGTACATCAGCAGAGGGAAATCTCTGGAACTGGCTTCTTTGAACCATTAATGTTTATCCATATCCATAACGTCAAGTACTGATGTCCATTACATTTCCAAAATGTCTACATAGTCATATGATAGATCCTTCCTGAGTAGTCACAGGATCGTCTCAACACTGATGTTCCACACACAGAAGCCAACTGGATCGACAGCTGACTCTTACGTCAACACTGGGGATGGGATGCTGCACTGCATGTAAGGACCACAGAGGCTGGCTTATGCAGCATAAGAAAAGCCACACGGCACCTACGGGCCGGTCCACCTGTAGCAGGAAACCGAGAGGGTGACAGCGCTTTCTCCCACAAGTGCATTTCAGCATGTGCTGAGGCAGCAGCCGCACTCAGACTAATAGCAGGGCCAGCCCTGTCCTCTGTGCGACAACCTACACCAAGTGTCCCTCTGTTCCACCGAAAATTTAGACTACTCCATTAATGGGTCCCCACACCTGATTCCAGATATTACAGCCTCTCCTGGTGCCTTCTATGGGAGTAAGGTTAACGGATTTCTTCCAACTTTCAGCAGGCACCCAGTTCACGAACCATCTGCTAGTTTCTTACCAAGCTCTCCAGTCGTTTGGCAACAATGGATGCAAATCTCTGTTCTCCTGCCAGTTCGGAAATTAGGAAGACATACTCCGGTGCAGTAACTTGGTTGGACCTGTGAGTTCGGCCTGGGAAGTAAACAGGGAACAGATTTTGTTCAGGCAAGCCATCAGCACCACCAACTCTCAATGGGAAAGCAAGTGTCCGCAGAAGTAATATTTTTTACACTGCTTCAGTCTACAATCTCAACTCTGAATGCGTTCCAGCAAGTTTGTTTTATAGTTTTTTTATATCGTCCTCTTACTGAGAGTCTTTACTATGACTGGAAAATACAGATGTTTCACTGACCATAGGATTCAACATGTGTACGTTTCATGCTACATTCTGTTTCAGATATACTTGCATAACTAAGTTGTTTTATTTTGCTCTTTATCAAACTGTTTTAAAACTAAATTGTTTCCCAAACCATATCTTTAATGAACAGTGTGAATGGTGTACAGACTTGTCTTCAAGGCAAAGGAAAAATGACAAAATTTAGGCAGAGATTGAAAGCTCTATTCAACCAAGCCAATGCTGTCAGACCTATCGCTTGACTCTTGTTCATCTGTGAGATTATCCTTTTATTCATCCTTTCCAAGTCGAGTCAAGAGCAAGTTACTCACCAAACTGCTGTATTGCCCTATCTGCACTCCAGGGCAACTCCAGAGTCATATGCACCCTTCGCTTCTGGTTTTTGGCCCTTCGATCTGCTTGCAATGATATGCCGGAGCTGGCTGCTTCAGAGATTATGGCAATATTCTTCAAGATGGAGGACAGAAGAAAAAGGAAAGGAGAGGTGACACTTCACAACAGATGCAAAGCTTGAATCTTAGTCTGATGGGCTTGTGGACAAATTTCTGAACTGTTGGAAGGATTCTGTTATAGGCAAGGCCGCAGGCACTTGACAAGCAGCATGTCCAGCAAGTTCTTCCTGTACAAGAGGTCTTCTCCAACCAGGCACACAGTTTATAAGGAGGAAAAGGTGCCACTGGATGTTCAGAAAATATAGTACTCATATCAGCTGCGATTTCCTTGCTAGCACAAAGCAGAATATACATGCCAAAGCATATATTACCTCTCTTTTCCTCTTGACAAAAAGGTTTCAAGGCAGGGGTCTTTTGATGGTGTTGCATAAATTCTGCAGCCATGCTGGCTTTTAAATATATATACCCAGGTTTACATATGTGAACACAATATTGAACTAATATGCCATCTTTTTGAATGTAAGTATTGCCAAGAATGCCTGAAGCCTGTGGATCCATGTTATGTCTTTAAAAGACTAAGAGCAGTAGAAATGCTTACCTTATCTCCATCCATAAATCTCTGCTTCTCTGTAATATTTAGGATTTCAACAGGAACATCAAGCTCAGACCTGGACTCGTAAGAGATGCTTCCATCATCATTACTAACAACTCTCCCTTTGCGACCTGTCATCTTTGGAACAAAGGATTGTTTTAGCATTTCAAATGATGTCTTGAAGCACCTAATAAATATTTCCCATTCATGGCATGTGCTTCTCTATGGCTGTCCATGAAGGAACCTCCCTGAGAAACATCGCTGCCATTTCTGGCATTCTTTGCCCACTAGTCGAACAAAATGGTAGAATTTCCTTTCACTGCCATGAACTGTTGCGTGATAATGGAAAGGGGTTTTAAACCCCTTTTCACCCAGATGTGGCACAATCAAAGTATCTGCACATACTGCTGGCTCTGAGCATGCCCAGCCCCGAGCTGGTGACTGTCTGTCTTCAGTTATCAGGCTGGGAGGAGCTGCTACATGCACAGCCACCGTGCCGCACCAGCTGACAGTCTCATGCTTTCCAAGAAAACTGGACTGAAGGAAACCCTTATCTGAGCTTGGAAGTTAGTGCTGAAGTCTACCTGGGGCAAAAATGAAAGCTACCTTATGATCTGGAGAGTCAAAATGCACAAGAGACACAGTGAACAATCCCCAGAGAAATCAAGTTTGTTTAAAAGAAAAGAGTGCGATAGCAGCATTTCAGTTCAGGCCAAGATTTGTTTCCTTTTGTCCCAAGAACACAGCAGTGCAAAGCAACTTTGGTCAAATTTCCTACTCAGCGGTAAATACGTCCACCACCTTCCAATGGTCTGATCATTGAGTACAAAGACACTAGGATCATCAGCAAGCAGTAGTATCCCATATAATTGCAGCTTCAAACATATTATCTGTGTTTAGCACTTAGTCCATCTGCATGCTAAATAATCCCCATCACAACAGCTCAGATTGCAGACAAGCCCACCCTCCCTCCCAATTCACCCCACTCATCTCGTTGTGATCCAGCACCTACCTCAGCCACATTTTCAGGACCACCTAGTTCATCTATGAGCTCATCCAGTGTATTAGGGGGAAGATCTTCTGACAGTTTTTCCAGTTTGTCAAGCAGTTCCTTTTTCATCTGCTGGGCCCTCTCAACAGCATCCTGGCTTGTTACATAGCTGGTATTTGTATTACTGTTAGCTGCAGAATACAGGAAGCAGCATTAAAAGTGTAGCTTCAAGTGTTGCTACCGCCGCTGCAAGGTTTTTCAAATTCAAAACCCAATCCGGAAATTTCATATTCCACATACCAGAAGTATTTGTAGCAGAAGAGGTAACAGCTGTGGAAGAGAGAGAGCTAGGCCGTTTTGATCCAAGACCAGATGCTAATAAGGCACTCTGAATAGAATCTGGGTCTATGCTTTTCTTCTTTTTCTTTTCTTTATTTTTCTTATGCTCTTTTCTTATTAGCCAAGGGTCTGAAGACAAAGAAAAATAAAGAAACAATTAAACAATGGACATCCTGAAAAGTGTGAAATCATGCTCCAAAGCTGGTTATTGTACAATATTCAACCTCTTTCAAAGGTACCACAGCGAACAGACCCTCAGTAAGTGCAGACAGATGTAACGATTTAAAAAGCAATCTTAAAAGAATGAAGACACCCATATTTTCTCACCATCTTCATCATCCTCGCTTGATTCATCCCTAAACGGGTTGAAGTCATCGTCGTCACCAGAGCTTAAAAACCGGGAGCTCTCATTGTCGCTCTCTTCATTGTCCGAGACATCTGACTCACTGTAGCTTTCATCGGAACTACTCCCTGCTAGTCCACCAATTTTCCGAGCTTTCTTGGCTTCTCTGGTTATTTCTTCACCTTTTTCATATAAAAGAGAACACACACATGGCATCAAACAGTAGCACTGACTTCACACTTGCTCTCTACAGCATATTAGCAAAGGCTCTGTAGATACTTAAGCACTGGTAGGCAATATAAAATTTCAACACAGAAAATACCAGATTCATTATACCAAATGGCCTACAAGCAGTCACAGCTCAAGGCTTCTCTAAAGGAAACTGGGGATGGTACTGGGGTTAATGGGGGGCTGGCAACATGGGCAATGGTGGGGCCAGGGTGGTCCATCTGATGATGGTGCTGGAATTGGTGCCAGCTGAGATAAAGGCCACTGATGCGCTGCTTGTGGTATACTGGAAAACCTGATCTACCAGGAGGATTTCTATAGGAACGGGCAAAATTCTTGCCTTTCCCCCAGTTATTTCTTTGGAAGGACTGCTCAAGAACAGGCCTACTTAGCAGTAACACTCTCCAAGTCATGCCTAAATACTTGAAATTAAACAAGTAAAGCTTGCAAAAAGGGCTCAAATTTGCTATTCACAACTCTAAATGTTTACATTTTATTCGGGGAGCAGAAAAGTTAAAGGGTATTATTTATTTATTACAAACATTTATATCCTGTCCTTCCGATAAGCACTCAGGATGGCTTACATAATATAAAATTACAGTAAGAAAACCACAATTATTAAAACAATATAAAACAATGTATCAAATTAAGAAAAAAAAAGGGAGGAGGAGAACGGAAAATGCAACTGCGGAAAAGGGGGAAAAATCTAAAACCCTTATTAAAATGATGGTTAAATAAAAAGGTCTTTACCTGGCGCTGGAAGGAGTATAACGTCGGCGCCAGGCAGCTCCTCTGCTCTAAGCTACTGATCGGCCTTACATGCACATTTGTGAACTGAAGAAGCCAGTTCCCCAGACCTTTGCTTAAGCATTTCTTCCATATTAAAAAGTGCTTAAAAATAGCACCATGGCTTCAAAAACATCTTGCATCTTACCTTTGCGTTTCTTTATTTTGTCTTCCTTACAAGGACTGTCCCGAGGAGAGTTGTTATTACTTTGAACAGACAAATCTATTCCCAGCAAGCTAAAAAGCTTCTTCCTGTCGGGAGCTGGGAAGTGTTTCTCGATGAGAGACTGAAATACCCCCCTGCAGAATTAGGAAACAGAAAAATGAGCATGCAAGCTATCTTTTTCTTTGAGGAGTCACCCACAAGCCTCCTTCCACCTGCAGTCTTAAATTCTGCAATGCATGCAACATACCCTTGAACCAAGCCTGACTTGTTTCAGGCATTATTTGACATACTGTTAAAACCTCAATTCTGCCTGAATCACCGCGACAAGCATGTACTTCAAGAACTCAAAATATATAACCAAGTGGCAGCTAGCTAGCCTTCAGCCATTACCTTTCAACAAGGTTCAGGAGTTATAAGTTTCCCATATGCTGAATTTAAATTGCAAGCAGCCCCCCACCCCCAGCATGGCTAACGATCAGAGATGATGAGAACTGTGTACCAGCATCTGAAGGGACTCAGGTTTCTCATCCCTACCTTTCAGGATGAACCTGCCTGCAGGACTCCATGGTACAAAAGTCCAATGGCACATGCTTTGGGAAATATAAGCCACTAGCTATTTCCAACAAATTCCCAGGCCATAAAGGCCAAAGATTTAGGAAACAGAGTCCCCGGAAGTCTCCATCTTTTCTGTAGCATTGCAACTGCTGTAGCCCCAGAATCAAACCAACATCAGACATGAATGGCAATGCCTCTCTTTCTGGATCAGAATTCCCACCCCTCTTCCCACAGGTCTATTTCCTGCTTATAAGCTGGAGTTTCAGGCAAAATGAAGTATCTTCTTAAAAGAAACAAAACCAAAACAAAAAAAGAAAGTCCCAGTCAGAGATAGGGAAGGCATTTAAAATAGTTGTCTTGATATTTCCCCAGGAATTACGAGGTGGAATATTGAAACCAAATCAACTTACACACAGGGAATAAGTGTGCTTTCACTTCAACTAATAAAATTAAAGAAGCTTATGATAACTGCAGTTTGACATTAAAGCTTCAGACAAACACTGGTCTAAACTCTCTCACTGGAAATAATACTATACTATCTTTCCTAATTCTCATAAAAGCAGAGGCTGGTATGACCATTTTGTTTTCTCTGATATTTAAACTCTTTAAGCTTCAATAAGCAGAGGGAGCTGGATAGCGCATTTAACAGAGGAAGAACTGGTGCCTGATCACAGATGCTACCATATTAAATTGAAGCAGAACTGAGAACACAACATAAGCAGGCATGTAACTGCTGTTTGATGTTGTCCCAGGGAGACTCATTATATGGTTGGCTGACAACTTTGGCAGCTTGAGGATAAATGGCAAAGAATTCAAACATATTTGGCTCAGGGATCAAGCCACACTTGAACTGAAGGTGAACTTTTCACCCAGGCTAAGATACCACTAAAAATTCCTGGGATGGGTTTCACCGTGGCTTCTGTACATCAGCCTGGAATGTGCTGATCTTTCAAGTACAAACCAAAGCAAGGGGAGGAGAAGCTTACAGCTGAACAGCCTATTAACATTCATTCATTTTATTTATTTTCAAATTTATATGCTGCTGAAATTTGAAAATAAATTCTGAGGTGGTTCTATTTTAATATCAAACTAGAAAATCAATGAATGAAGACTACACTTGATTTTTTGGAGGGAAGAAGGAGAAAATACCACATTTTCCCTGGATAGTTGACAGAGCCTTGAAAGAGTTAACCATGCTTTCCAGTAGAGAGCATTAATGCCCACCTTTTCTACCTTCATACTAAAGTGTCCTGCCTTTGTCCCAATCTGAAGACTGCCATGCCTGTGGGTACAAGCTATGCTGGCTTTCACTGTAGACTGCTTCAGATATTTCTAGAACGTTAGAAACCATTATCTTGGAGTAAAGGCCTTACTTTGCTGTGGAAACGAAGTCATTCAGTTCACCACCACCTTCTTCCAAAGCTTCTAAGGTTCTTGCTTCTCCTGTGGATTGCAGCCCGATGACCACACACTACAAGAAGAAATGTTCCTGTTCAGTACTGAAGTGCTGAGCTACTCAAAACACACATGACCCCCGTCTCCCTTACAGCAAAGGTCACTCTAAAGCCCACTACTCTGAGATACCGAGCCTTGGGTTGGGCAGACCGACGCTTACCTTGCCATTCTTTATTTCTTCTCGTGCCAGCTGCACCACCCGTTTCACTTTGGAGGCTATGCAGAGATACTTGAAAAATCTCTGGTGGGCAGACCAGAACTGTCCCCACATCGACTTTTTCATCCGTTGTTCAGCATCAATTAGATCAGCTGCTTGCTGGAACTTCTCCCGGGCACTTACCCACTAAAAAGGAACACCGGACAGTTTCCCATCATTTTTCAAAGTATCCTTAAGTGAGAACTTGTGCAATGTAACATTACCAGCACAATTTTTTTACAGGTATTAAAGCTCTGATATCCTGTTTTAAGAAATGATGCTATATCACAGTAGTAGTTCAAATTGTGATCTTCACGATCTTTCTGCACATTGATTTGCTTGCTGAAGCATGTTCTAAGGTGCACAGAATACTGGCACCAAGTGCTGGCCACGTACATATTCCAGAACACACCCAATGCAGAATGTTGCAAGAGAAGATTGATAAAGCTGGGGAATATCTTTCACAGAAGCTCATTCCTTGAGCCGTCATCGACTCATCTTCTCACTAAAAAAGCCCCCAGGCTTCCTGGGAACCAATGCTCTTCAGCAGAGATGGAGGAATCTGTGGCCCTTCAAATTTGGCTTGCGACTCCATCAGTTCCAGACAGCAAGGCCTGGAACATGACGGGCGCTCCAGGGCATTCACCTCTGCACTGCACAAGCATCACTGTTCAAGCCAATCATGAGAGCATTCGGACTTCTAATTATAATTATTTTTTAATTTATTGTTGTGAGCCGCCCCGAGGCTTCGGCGAATGGGGCGGCATAAAAATGTTTTAATAAATAAATAAATAAATAAATAAATAAATAAATAAATAAATAAATAATTGCAGTTTGAGGGTCATGGTTACGTTGCAAAGCACCTGCAGTTTTAACTTCTTAGAACTACCTCTTACGGGCTCTACAAACAGGCTGAACTGGCTGAGGAGAGTCCCAATGCAACAATGTAATAGTAACCCACTGTCATCTGTTTCCAAAAGTGTTCTTTAGGTCTTCACTAATCAAAATGGGGAAACCATTTCTCTAAGGAAATATTGATGATCCCCATACGAGAAGAGAAGCAGGCTGGGAAACGGCAGTCCTGGGTTTCAATCCATGTAATGTATTTGTGCTTATCCCCATTTAAATCAATGGGATAAATCAGTCGTGATTAACTCAAGCTCCACTGATTTCAATAAGGCTTAAGTGTAACTGCATCTGTCTGGATCAGGGCCTGAATTTTCAACTTCAATATAAAAGTCACAAACAAGAAAACTGTGGGCTTTAAACGCTCAGAAAAATTAGTACCTAAAGCATCATCTATTATACCAAATATTTAAGTATCCTTACCATTTTCACAGATTTATTATACATTTTCACATAGTGCTGAGAAAGCTGAACTTCATCAATTTTGAAGGTCACACCTGAAAAGCTCAGCTGCCTTGCTATGTACATTCCTCTTAGTTTCATATCCATAGCAACTATTTCCATGGCACCCACACCTCTGAAGACAAAAAAAGGATAAATTGAGGTAATTTTAAACATGGAAATGACTTTCAAATAGGCAGCTACTGAACACATTGGGAAAACCTTACATTGCACCCAAGTCTGATGATAGAGAACAAGCAAGTGATTTCCTGAGATGTTTAAGTCATGGGAAAGTGTTGCTTTTTGCAGGGGGAACGCAAGACATTTTGTGGAAAAAAATTGGAATACATGAGCAAGTCAGCTTCTTCTACCAGTTCTGTATATCACATTTAAGTTAGCTTGCACAAAACAATTACTATTTAATTGTTCTTTATTCAATTTGGAGAGCAATCCTATGAATGTTTACTCAGAATGTTTAGTGGAACTGTCCCCAGGTAAGTATCTAAAGGGGCTGCTCTGAGGATAAGAAGCAGAAGAACGTGCTCAGAGTTGAGCAGAAGGCAAAGGCAGAGAGCACTGAATTTTCTTCCTAGACTCACCGTTCCGAGGGGCGGCATGAAGGACTTCTGTCTTTTGATTCCAAAAGATCTGGAGTGAGCATGTCCTTAAACAACTTGCCTGTAAGCACTTCCTCCACAAAAAGCATCCTTTCCCTACTTCTTTCCTTTTTTCTTTTAAATTGCTACTCCCAGCTAAAAACTGGAAGTTGAACATTAGTCTCCTCCACAGAGTCAAGACTAGGTGATGGGGTGTAAGTGGAATTTCACTGCCTCTGCCTACTCAGGCTGGTCTAATTATCATTTTGCTGTTGGCTCCGTTCCTCCACTGACGAAGAACTGAGATGATCTTTCTGCTGACTGAGAATCCAGAACTTACCTCCTTTCAACAGCCTGAATAAAATCGCTGAACTCTCTAAATGGTGTTCCTTCGCCCCATATCCCGAGGCGATTCATATATGCCATATTTCGTGGCTCAGATGCACCTGAAAGCAAGAATTCAGACTTATTTTAAGCTATGTACCTTTCCCCCAATGGAAAGCAACACATTAGTAGTTGTGATTAAGTAGTTAATCAAGCAGCACATACCTGTGGCACTAGCATAAACAACTCTGGCCTTTGGCAGTTTATTCTGCAGCTCCAGTACAGCCAAGCCTGTCTTAGTTGGTTTCGAAGAGCCAACAGGACACAGATTTTTAGCCTTGTGACATTCATCAAATACTATCTGAGTGTAAATGTTAAGAAATCAACATTTCATTCCAGCAGTCTTACTGTCCTATTGGGGAAAAACTTACGCAGCAAAATTGGTGGGGCTGCCACCCAATTAAACAGATCACTCAGCTCTGTCCTAAGTATGTTTACATGGATGCAAATGTGAACCTCCACCATTCCCAGACAGGACGGCCGTCATTATCAATTAATTGTTTGCGCATTGGTCAATCAATTACAAGTTGTACGTTGGACGCAAAATGGCTCCAGACCAGAAAAACCACAGTTTTAAATGGTGCCGATGCTCAGTGCCATTCCTGGTCATCAAGTATGGCAAGCTCTGCTACATTTAGGAGTAACGCTGCATTTAGGACGCGTCTGCTTCCAAACATGCGGCAGCCCTGGCACTTAAAGCCAGCAAGAGGCAAATACTGAAGCGACACAACAAAGTGGGGCAGAGTATTGGATATTCTTTACAGAACGGTTTTTAAAGGCCCGGGGAAGGCCTGGACACTGCAACAAGCGAGGACACAGAAAAGATACCACTCCATCGAAGTCATCGCCACACCAGTGGAGAAGCTGCTTCAGCCTGGTTTTATATTTGCCTCCAGACTGACTTTCTCCAATAAGAGAAGAATAGGTAGCAAATATGACACCTTTCTTCACACTCCCATTATGTTTTGAAGAAATTTTTCCATATTTGAACTAAAATAAAAAATAAACAAAATCAGGAGTAGGGAAGGAATCTTGTGACTGGCATCACTATACAATCATTAAGCTTCACTATGGAATATGGACATTCCATCCCCACAAAACTAATCAATGTAGCATTGGACCAAGATTTCCACAAAGGACTATGTAGAGAAATTTGAAGCTCATTTCTGTTCTGGCTTTACTAAGCTACACATAGCTCCATCATTCCATAAAATATGCCCACATGAGGAACAAAATTTATAACCTTAGATTTCCTAATTCCAGTTTGTAATTTTGCAGTTTTTACTAGAGGTGAACAAAACTCTAGTAAATCTGCCTGACTGAGCACTTAATTTGTCAGAAACTGGAGGAAAACTGAATCCAAAGCAAAACATGAGTAGTTAAATATCTCTATATAACAATTTGTTCAGTTCCTCTAGTTGTAAAGCTATGTAAGGATAATATACATATGCATGCTTATAACTAAAGGAACTGAACACCACAGAATATGACAGGTTTACTCCCAGCATCCCATACATTACAGTAAGGGAAAAACTTCCACTGATTAGCTTTGCAAAGGGCAGGAAACTAAAGAGGGGTAAGAGTAAAGTGATCAGTGTGAATGCTTTCATCAGTACAAAATCACATTCAATACTACTTCACTTTGTATCAACTGGGACCAACACAGGGATGAATATTGTAACTACAGCAATGGTTTAATACCATGGGAGCTTCTGGATAATTCAGGCTATTGCCTCCTCAACTTTGTATTTTGTCCATGTTTATTATCACTGGGAATTTATTCTAACAATATTGATAGACTTTTTCCTCAAACTGTATAGATAATATGTTATACTATAACTACGAACTGGTATCATTTGCTTATCATTAACAACAACAAAAAGCTTTTTTTAAAAGAAGTTAGGATAAGTAAGGAAGTGTGCACTAGCGAGGCAGCTTGGAAAGGTAATAAACCCGCCTCTCCAAATAAGCTTCAGTGTAACTTCTACGATACATAAACATCTAAGCACGTCTAACACTTTTTGTTTCAAGTGTACATTGTTAAAAAAAAATAAAATCCAAACCTTGTTTAATGAGTGTACCAAAATATTTTTGGCTCCAATATCTCTTAAATCTCTTTCAGCATCATACTTCAGATCATTTGAAACACTAAACCTAAGAGAGAATAAACATGACTGTAAAAATTCAACTGAATTGAAAGAAGAAAAGTGCCAAGATGCCATGTTTGCGTTTTGAGTATTCTGTACTTACCATACTGCCCTTTTTCTACCCAAGAGGTAGTTTTCATAGATGATTCCAGCTATGGTCCTTCCTTTTCCTACACCTGCACCATCACCTATTAAAAAGCCAGCTCTGTCTTTATTGGGTAGGAATGTTTCATGTTGCTGCAGGAAATTTAAAAAAGTGCATTGCATTACAAAAGTGAACTGTAAAAAGTCCTTCCTAGCTGAAACCATCCTCCAGCTGCACTTTCTGTAAGAAAGCAGCCTGACACCACGCTTGTTGTAAACCAACTAAAATTTGTTTACTTTCTGAGCCACCCACGCATCTGCTGCTCCATAAAAGTATAGCTGTCTTTAGTATTTTCTGTGACATTATCCAGGCACCTTGGCTCAAGAATCCATTGTATCCCAGAAACAGCATTATGGAAAGCTGTTGAGAAAATGGTAATATTCTGGACAGACGTGAAGGGAGTTTCACGGTGGCATCCTCACTGATTAAAGGCAGCTGCTCTCTACAGAACAGGTAAAAGCCTGTTTGACTTCCATCCCATCACCCAGCCACAGAACCCACAAAGATGCCTTTAGATTGGTCCATCTGAGAGAATTCTCCAGGGACAGGCAGTTCTTGAACAATCATCATACCAACTTTGGTTTTTATATTGGGAGCTAATCTTTCCCTCTAATGGCTCTCACCATGTATGAACAATATGCCTTACTCCACCAAATAGCAAGAAACTTCCATAAGCTGTATTCTCATCTCGCAGTTTTGTCAAAACCACCTCTGGGTATATAGTCTACTGAGTCTATGCGCAAAGTATTACTGAAGGATACCTAAGTGGCTTCAGGCTTGCGACCCATTTTTGAAAAGCTGGGAGATGTTAAGTAGTGCCCACAGCATTCCCCAACTTATCTGTGACTAAATCAGGTCCTATGAATTCCCTTTATTCCAAGACCAGGTAATTCTGATTGCTTATGCTAGATTTCTTTTCCTCTCTTCCTCCAGGTGCAAAGTCTGCCATTAGCACAGGCCTTCCAATGCCTTGCGAATGCTAACCCCCAAAATTATCTTTAAGTTTATTAGCACTAGTACACTAGCAAATGTACTATGTAGTTAACATACTAACCAAGCCGTTTTACTCTTTTCCAACATGTATGCATGAGTGCATTAAGATCAGCGTTTGTAAAACAACAACCACCACCTACACTATTGAACTTCATCGATTCTGTCAATATCCCCACTTGAGAAATAACCATTCCTCACCACAATGCAGAAGAGCTCTGTGCACATTAGAACTCTGGTGAAGGTCCCTTCAGTCCTGTATTCAATGTTACATGTCTACACAGTTGCGTGTGAATGAGTGGCAACACACCCCGCAATTTTGAGTGAACATTTAAGTGCAACATACCTGGGCTGCGTATGTAACTGCTTCAAGCTGCAGTGCTGACAGCCAGCCATGATCAATGGTCTCTTCAGGAATTGAAGACTTATACCAAACATCAGGAGGGGTGACACTGGAGAGAGAGCTCGTTTCTACCACTGGATCAGGATGACGCAGACCGATTTTTACTGTTTTGGAGGGGGTAGGTGATTATTCTCAAATATTCTGGGGAATATCTTATCACAGGTTACTTCTAAAGCTAATGACATGTCCAAATACAAGGCTGTTAGTGAACAAGGGCTGCAAGAAGTAATAACAGGGCCAAGAGTTTCCTAGTAAAGAACAAGGTCCAGCGTTTGTTCTTTTCCAACGTAACAGAGTTTATGAACAGCTGTGTGCATATGCTTTAAAATGGAAGGAACAATTCAAGGCAGCGACCTTGAATCCTGGCAATGCTCCTCCTGAAATCTCCTGCAGGAGAACCAGAGGCTTTTCCTGTGGTTCATAAAGCTTTAGGAGATACTAAAAAGGAACTGATGACAAGTCCTGATGTGCGAGTTGACCTCCACTTGAGTAACTTTAAAAAATACTCGGCAGTATCCAAAGGCGATCGTAATCCCCTGACAACCAACCACCCACACCATCTACAGAGTTGCCCTTGAAACCCACACTTTGAACAGGTTTGAGGAAAGCCAATTCAAACATCCCACAATCATTAGCTATTATCAAGGAAAAGTAATACCTATGTTGCAGACACAATTTAAAGCAGTGTACTTAATTTAAAGCTCTTTAGAGTTTATCAAACATACATTTTATAGGCATGTATTCTGCATATGTTTCTGCATGTCCCATTTCTTCTTCATCTTCTTCTTCAGGTTCCTCTTCTTCTTTTGCTACTGGCACTTTCTGCAGCAAAGAAACAGAAGCAGCAACGTTTAAGCAGCAGATAAGTCTTCCGTTTTCTAAGTATTATGTGCATTTCAGAAATTGCAGTGATAGTTATTACACTTCTATGTGAGATTTGTCCTTTGATTCATCCTTCTGAAGATCTTTAAAGTGGTATATAATGTCTATCATGGGTACACAACTACACATAAAAGGATCACTCGTAAAGCCTGTAATCCCAGCTGCAAATATTCATGAATGACCCTTGCAAAATTGTGAAGAGTTTAATTTTCTCTAGTTAAAAATTAATTCTTAGTGGGCTTTCATGATTTTAGTTTCCTTTCAGTTTTATTCTATGGAATCACATTTGTTCTTGAAATCTGAATGTCTGTGGAATACTAATACATTTGATGCACTGAAAAGTGAAAGTGAAAGCAATGTTCAAGGCAACAAAGAAAATACAGTGTGGTCTCATGACAGCTCATTCACTGATGGTCAAACCCAAGGACGTTCAAGTTAGAGAACAGGCTGATATGAACTGGCCTTAAGGATTAATAGCTTCTTATCTCAGCTTTAGTTCCTAGAAGTCTTCAAAGTAATGTACAACAAAAAGAGCCCCGATACTGAAAATCCAAAATATTAAGAATAAAGTTTCAAGACAACAAAAACGGTAAAGCAAGGTTTAAACAGCAAAAACAGATGACTGTTCCGACACAGACCAAAAGCCTTCCTTGATACGTAAAAAAGAATATCAAAATTGCCCCTGCGCTTCAGTAGTACAGGTACGTGATGAATACAGTGAGGGAGGGAGTTCTGTGTGTCCAACAGTTCTAGTGACTAAGCATCTCATTTTTGGATGTAGGAAGAAAAGCCTCAGTGGAACATAAGAGAAACTTGTGTTTCAGAACAAAGGCCTTTCCAGTCCACAATTCTGCTTCCACAGTGGCAAACCAGATGCATAGAGGAAGCCCACAATGGGCAGATGAGCACAACTGCAGCCCCTGGCTCATCTCTCCCAGCAATCTGTACTGAGAGGCATATGAACTCTCATGTCGGAAGTAATAGACAGATACTGCAACAAGCAGCCACTGATAGCCTTATTCTCCATCAACTGGTCTAATCCTGTTTTAAAGCAGTCAAGGTCTATAGCTTTTGCCTCCTCTTATGGTAGCAAATTTCACAGTTTAATCATCTGCTCTGAACAGGCCGGCAGTTCTTCATGTACATCAGTCTGCTTTTCAGGGAATTTGAATTTTCAGAAGCATCCGCCAATTACACAGCAATATAAATCCCACTACCTAGGAAGTGGCACCTACCATTGTAGGAGAAAAGCTTCTCATTTTAAGATCATTTATCCATATTCTTGCTACTTCCTTAGTAGATGTTTCTTTTTTTACAGCACCATTGCTCAGATCAGCTGCAAGAAAAACATTCCAAAATAGTATTTACACACAAAAAACTCCCCAAGTGTATAAGCTAATCTCCTTTGCATCTGGGGTGGTAGAAAGCTGCACTGTGCATTCAGAAATACACCAAAGCATGTGAGTTTTTAATCAGTCCTAAACCAATGAGCATAAAAATTTTCCACCTATTTTCTCCCAGGAACAGTGTGCTAGACATTAGACCAAGGTTGCAACTACAGAAGCCACCTTTCACCAGTGTTACATACAGATCACTTTAAATGTGTTATCTGTGAGTTAAGCCGGGAAAAAACCCTTCTCCCAGGTTTAGCAGGACTATTGACCTTACCTGGTCTGGTGGTGTTTACCACCCTTGGAGACACTACAATTATTTCTGGAAAAAAGTCAACAATTTGGGATTTCAATATTAAAATTCTTCAGATGAACACAAGATCGAGCAGCCTCTGTCCCACTCTACCTAAGTTAATATGGTGAGACACGTGCATATCACTGGTGATGACAATCAGTGATAAGTTTAATTCCAGGATTTGGAATTTCCTTGACTAACAAACATTATTTAACACAGATAAGAGGCATCAGTCTCTTGTGACATGCTGGCTACAATGTACTTCTAAAAAGCAAGATTCATCACGTTTCTGTAGATCACAATTAAAGGCTTAAATGCAACACATAATTTGTAGGAATTATTAAAGACAAATAATGCTACAGATACTTTTAAATCAAGAGAACTTAAATTTTGCTTTAACACTTGAGAACAGCCCTTTCACCTACAAAAATCTCCCCCAGAGTTTTCTTTATCCATATATTTATTTTGGTTTTTCTTTTTTTTAGAGAAAATGATGCAAAGGAAGAAAACGCTAAATAACGTATCCATTCAGAAAAATATACTTAAGTTTCATGACACTGGGATAGCAAGGTAGCAATCCCTCTACGATGTCAGATGCTTACAAGAATAACCTCCCATTAATTAAAAGAGCCACATTAATTAAGCTGACCTGTCATTTCCCATTGGTATGCTGTTCTAGCTTTACATTTTTTAAAAATTCAAAGAACAGTATGGATCTTATATTTTGCACGGTCAAAACACTTGCACACCCATCATGCGGCATAAAGAGTAAGAAGCACATTATGAGAATACTGGGCTGTTCTGGACCCAGAGAAGAAAATAGCTGCCCACCCAACCCCCACCCATGATCCAGCCGGCTTCCCGGGTCCCTTACTTGCAGCTGTAGCAACAGGCTGAGCAATGTTAGGCGGTGGCTTCAGCTTCATCAGCTCATTAAGACTATTGTTTTTAAGCAGATCTTTCAGCTGGATCTGGTCCTTGGAGGTTGTGGTAGTCAGGGCATTCCGTGCCACTGGCACTGTTGCCGACGGCCGGGTAGTGGTGCTGGTTTGTATAATTTTTGCTACAGTGATCGTCTGCCTGGTGGTGGTGACAGGGGTTGTTTTTGTCATCACTATGGTCGTCCCCAGAGTAGGAAGCTGGTTTATTTGATTCAACACAAAAGTTGTGGTTGACGGCGGTTGCTATATTTAAAAGAAACAGAAAAACCATTCTAAGTTTTAAGAATAGAATGAACCCATGATTAGCATACAGTACTTTCTTTTTTTTTTTTTTTTTTGAAACTGTGGGCAACACTGAGAACTGCTGAAAACACACCGACTGAGAAAACATGGGGAATACCAAGTCATGACACAGCACTTACCCAATGGTTACAAAGTCCCCCAGTTTTCAATCACCACCATGCGGAAATATATTGGTTTTTACAGCACTCTTGCTCTTAGACCAGAAGACTAGGCTAGAGGCATTTCCAGGCTGCCTTGAAGATGTTGGGGATTGACTCAGGAACCCTGTGCATTCAGAGCATGTGCTCTACCACTGAGCTACAGCCCCCTCCTGAACTGTGTTTTAATAATCTGCCCTTCCCAGAAGGACACTCGCATTCACAGAAGACATCCATTCTTGAGTGCAACTCTTCTGCAACCACATTTTTCAGTCATGGAACTCCACGTTGTACGCCTCCCATTCTCGTACTGCACTGCATACCTTGTTTTAATGCTGTAGCCAGTTTGGGATACTTTTAATTGGAAAACAGTTTAAAAGCTTGATAAATTACCAATAAAATTGCTTCTTCAGAGTAAAATTTAGCCTCAGATTTACAAAACCTGTAAAACTGCGTGCCCTGCAGGACAGTGAACACCAGATTCTCGTCTGACTTGCAGTTGCTTCCTCATGGAGCTACCGTTCCTTCTAAATAACACACCTGAGCCAAGTCATTCTGCCACACGTAGGACACATGCAGACAAAATCTGCACTCTCCGCTGTCTTTTTACGTTCCTCACAGACACTTTATACTTTGCTTACCCTGATGTTTAAAACGGTCGGAGAGGACGTAGTCTGTGGTTCTGGTTTAACAGCAACTGATGCTTCAGCCTCCATGCCCATTTCTAATGCATTAAGTGGTACTGACTAAAGAGAAAGTAACAAGAACAGTATATTTATTTACCTTGCAAGCCTAACAGACTCACCTGAGTCTGTTGCCTTTTCTTCCTAAGATGTATCCCAAGATAGGAACAGCACAGCACAGCAGCAGAGTTGCAAGGGGCTTATGAGGCCCTCATGCCCAACCCCTCGCTCATTTCCAGCTTAGCCAAGGTGACTGGACATGCTGTCTCGATGCATAGCTAGCTATACAGCACAGCGTATGCTTCAAGGAAATGAAATCGTCAGACTGACAGCTAACTCTGGGTCTAGACTGGAGGTATGGATAACAGGATGGATGCACCGTGCTGATCACTGGCCTGCAGGTTGTCACCATTAACAGAAATATGACAAACCGAGTGAGAGAGTCTTACTGTGTAGCTCTCTACATGTCTATTCGGAAGTCAATCTCACTGTGTCCGGAGCATCTTACTGCTAGGGAAATGAGGACTACGGCATTAGAGGCTCTTATTTTGTAACTGACAGTAGCAGCAGCGCATCACAGCAACGCAAAATGCTACATTCTTACAGAAGAAAGTTGCCAAGAAGATTAACTTCTTATCAAAATAATCTATCAAGTTTAAACCTTAAAAGTAGCCCACACCATCTTCAACTTCAGCCCGTCTGCACCTTTTCGCCTCGGACACGGGGTGCTGCTTGCATGGCAAGGCAGAATGCTCACAACCATGTTGCTGCCACACTTCAGCTGTAATCCTACACAAGTTGACAGAACTTACATAGGACTGAGGCTTCAGTGTATATGCTAAATAAACAGCCACTAAAGAGTCAGCCCTTTATTTTCTCAACCACCTAACAATATGAGCGACATACTTGAAAGGTACGTAAAGTTAACTCGGTGTTATAGCGCAATCATTAATTTAATTAATTTCTGGACTCTCAACCTGCTGAACAGCTGGAGGTGGGGTGGCAAGACCCATGTCTGTAGAATCAATGTCGAACAGGTCATTTGGACTTATTCCACTCTCGCTCAAGGCAGCAAGCAACAGATCTTGTCCTGGTTCCACCATCTCTGAAACAAAGCAAATGATAATCGGATCATTCAAGTGAAAACAATTGCATACACCGGAAGAACTCCAGGGGGTAATATTCGTCCTATCTACTTCTTTCTACAAGTCACATTCTTAGGAACAGCTAAAAGATTCCTTGACAGCTCCTATAACAGTATCAGACACACATTACATGAAAAGCTGTAGTTCTTGCTAAGATTCAGGCTGCCAGCTTAAGTCACCCTTCTATTGGAGCCCCTCCTCTCAGGAGTCACCATTGTGCTGCTGGGACATACGTCAAATAAATGTTGGATGCTCCAGTGAGAAAGGTGGAATTTAGCTATTTGTAGTGATTTAATGATTACGCTGTTAGGATGAAACAATAGGATGCCTTGTTTCTCCCAGATTGATAGGTTGCGTTTTGGCAAGCAAATCAAAGACTAGAGTATCAGACAATGCCACCCTAGGATCAGGAAGGGAACATTTAAGCCACAGAACCCACTCCCTGCTCAGTTCAGATATTCAGTTAAAAGCATTCCTGAAAGGTGGCTGTTCAGTCTCTGCTTAAGCATCTTCAGTGACAGAAAGCCCTAAGCAGCTGGTTTCATTGTCTAACTGTCCTGACCATTAGGGTATTTTTCCTTATGTTCAACAACAACAACAAACCTGCTTTCCTGTAGCTTAGCCTGTTATTTTATATCCTGTGGCTTTGTGTGATACTACCATAGATATTCAGTCCATGCAGTGGATGGTAGGGGCTGCTCTTGAGCTAGGGTAGTGGACATTCCTGTTCTCATCCGGAAGTGTCAAACTCATGCTGCCTTTGCCGATATTGATACCTGTGCTTCAAGGCTGGCTACACTGACGCTAGCCAGTTTACTTAAAAAAAAAAAAACATTTATTTTACTTCTGCTTTAGCTTCTTAACACAAGCACCACTGCACTGGTCTACTTTTCTACAAACCCTATTCAATGTGTGCAAAGATACGCAGCCTCGCTGGCAATCACTGCCAGCCAAACCCTGTATAGTTGCCATAGGCTGACCACATTCAACACTGTAGCTAAGTGACACAGGGACCCAGCTTTTCATTTAAGTGTAGCTTGTCTACAGGAGATTAGTCCTTTTACTTGAGCCATAACAAAGCAAGTGGGCATGTCTCTTAGGCCCATGAGTTTCCAATAATGAGAAGACAGCATCATAAAGTATGTTAGCAAAAAGCAATACTGTTATTTAAATTTAATCTCCTTCGAGTTTTGAAGAAATGTAATTGGTTCCCTAAGATGCATGTAACCTAGGAGGGCAGCCCAAGAATTCTGTAAACGTGATATAACTTCATTTTCAAGATTTAAACTTCTCTCAATAGACTTATTCTTAAGATAGCTTACAACAAGTTTGCGTAAGACAGACCACCCAACCATTAGACACACAGAACCCTGCAAGCATTAGTTCTCTGGCCAAAGAGTGGGGTCCATATTCCATATTTCCAAGTATTCAGAATCACTGTAGTTATACATCCCACTAATGCATATGTTCTAGTTATTATTTGAGGCATTTTAAATCTATATTTTCTGCCAAAATGGAATTCAGAGTGGTATACAGCAGCCGTAATGCAACACAAAACCACATTCATAATGCTCTAGCCTGCTAATCTGCAGACCAGATGAAGGCAAGACTTTTGCATAGGTATTCTAAGATAATCAACAAATCTGGCTATTGTAACAGGCCAGAGCATCTAGTGTTAACCAGCAGTGGATAGCACTTATTCAGGTCATTAAGTTAGATTCTGTAACCATTAATATTGGTTAAATCCAAACCAAGTATCTTTTTTAGATACTTCTTGTTGTTGTTGATAAATAACCCCACTGACAAAAGAACTAAGGAAATTTGTACATATAACTAGCCTTCAGTTTATTCTTCTTAGAAAACAAAAAGCAGACTATTCCTTGAGAGCTAACTCAGAGGTGTTAGAGAAACATCTTTTGTGTTTTTAGGCTAAATGGTTTAGAAAAGTTAAATATGATCAAGATTTGCGCATCAGTGTCTATGTTGATATGTAGTTCATGTTGCTGTTAACTACAGCAAGGTGCGATTTAAGGATATCCAAGGTCTAAGAATCTCTATGAAAATCACACCACTCATGCTTAACAGGACTAAGTTGAATCCAATGGTTCTGTAAAAGCATTACTTATATCAAGTGGAATTACTTTTGTCTTGCAATACATAAATAATTCCATTTACAGAAAGGAGACTGAAATAAGATGTTTAAAACTAAAACTAAGTACAGACACAGCTCTGCCTATAAATTGTTCAGCTATTATTCCCCTAGTGAATTCTACTTAAAGAACTGATTAAGTTGATGCATTAAAGAGACCATTTTTCAAATTTGACAACTGATGTTTCCCAAGCAAACCTTGACTGATTCTATACATCCACGAAAAGTTTCAGCAATGCACATGGTAATGTAGCAAAAAAGTTCCTAGAAGGATCATCAGGTTTTAGCCTTCCACATGAACCACGTGTACAGGTCATAAACTTCCGGGTTGGGGTTAGAAGTGACTGCGTAATTCTCTTAGGCACACATGCTCGACTGATCCCCTTAAAAGCTGCAAGGAGGAGACTGAGAAAGCATATGAGGATGGAACAAAGCTTGTGCTCATAGAAAACCTGAGCTTTCTTGCCAAAGAGATAAGAAGGCTGAAAACACAAAGGAAGGAGATTTCTGCTTAGTCAGCCAGGAGGAATAATCAGTCGCTCCCCTCTTAAAAGCAGCCCATTCTCTCTAGTGCTTATCTATCCAACAAAACAGCTCCGGGCATCCTCTGACAAAAGGATTCACATACACAAACAAACATGCATCACTGCCAGCTCACTAAAGACACACCATCCATAAGCATGGCATGGCCACCGGCAAACTACGCGGAACTTTCTTTCTGATCTCTCATGGCTGAGGCAGGGCATCAGCTCACCTGCCCCCAGAAATTCAAAGTATGGAGTTCTGCAGCAAAGGTGAGGGCTGAAAACCACCGTGCACCCTTGCTCTTTCTGTTGCCTCCACCACTGCTAGTATTTAGACTGCAAGCTTTGTGGGGCAGGGACCCTTTGAGAGGCCCCTCTCCCTCGATATCCCAACAGCAGACAACATAGGGCTTTAACACAAACCAAGGAAGGACTCAAGTCTATAGACTGGAAAGTAATATTTTAACAGGAGCTTTGGGGGGTGGGGAGCCAGAAGCATTATTTCAACCCCTTGCACAAGCAGTAAATGAACCAAGAGAACATCTCAAAGTTTAGCGAAGATGGATGGGAGGTGGAGAGCACATGCAGAGAGACGCTCAGAGAAAGAGAAGATGGGCCAAAGGTTCCTCTCGGCGGTTCCTCCCCGGGGCAACTTGAACCCCCGCCGGTTTTCTAAAATATGGGCCAAGTCTATTTGCCTCGGCAGCAGCCGGAGCCCAAAGGAAGACACCAAGGAGAGAGAGAAGTGCTCGCGGCACGTCGACGCTGGTATCCTCGCCGCTGAGGCGAGGCGGCTCCAGATGCGCGTCTGAGGGGGCTGGGGAAGCGGGACAAAAGATGAGCACCTTCGTCATCGATCGCGCAGGCGGGAGGACTGGGGAGCACCGAGCAGCACCTGAGGGAAGGTGTGCGCGAGCCCGGCCGCGCCGCCGCCGCCTCCACCCCGGGGCGCGCGAAGCCCAGGGCGGGCGGGCGCGGTGCAGTGGAGGAGGCGCGCGGGGGGGCGCCGGGAAGGACCCCGAGGAGGCTGCCGCGACATGGCTCCCCGCTTCACGAGGGGGCGCAGGCGGAGAACGCGACCCGAAACAAAACGCGGGGCAGGCGGACTCACTCCGGCCGTCTTTCAGGCGCTGCGCCGGGGAGCCTTCCGCCGCGTTCCCCTCCCTCCTTCTCTCTCGCCGCCGCCGCCAGGGCCGCCGCTCCGTCTGCCGCTTTCTAACTCATCGCCGCCGCCATCTTTGCCCGCCCGCCTTCCCTCCCCTCGCGCGGGGGGGAGGGGAGGCGGCGCGCGGGGGGGAGGGGAGGAGGGAAGAGCGGGCGGCGGCGGCGCGCCACGTGACCTCAGCGGCTGGCTGGCTCTGCTGCTGCCTCCAGCGCCTCCGCCTCCGCCTGCCTCTGCCGGGCGACGCGCGCCTCCGCTCCGCGGCCACGTGACCATCACCCGGCTTTCCCCCTCTCCTCCCGCTGGGCGCTCACGCAGACGCGCGAGTGCGCATGCGCGCCGGCGCGGCGCTGGTCTTCCTGCTCGCTCTTGGGTCCTCCGCTCAGCCTCGTCTCGCGTCAGGTGGTCACGGTTCCGGGCCGACCTCTCGCCGCGTCGCTCGGTCACGTGGCGCGCCGTTTCTTCGCGGCCTCTTCGCCTCAATCTGAAAGGAATGCGAAGAAGGCTGGCGGGGGAGGGAAGAAAGGGGAAGTGGGGGAAGAAATAAAAATAAAAAGGGAATGGGGAAGGGAAGTCACGCCCGGCGTCGGAGAAGCTCCGCAACGGATCCCGCGGTCGAATCGTTCATTTCTAGAGTAACCCCATCGCTGCCGCCCCAGGCTCGAGAGCTGGTCTAGGCCCGTTTTTTTCTGTTGGGAGGGGCAAGGAGGAAGGTGGTCGCGAAGACGTCCGTTGGGAGTCACGTGACCCAGCTCCCCAAGATGGCAGTGCCTTGCGTGTGCACGCAGGGTGTTGTGCGTCTGCCTAAGTCGCGAGAGTTGGCGTTCCCGGTGCATGACGGGAAAAGATTCAAGGGATCTTGAGGAAGAGCAAGAGTTAAATGATAACGCGCACTGCGCAGGCGTTCCCAAAACACCCTGTGTGGCGTGTGCGATTACCGCAGCAACTTGCACAACTATTCCATTTTTCTCCAAGATGCTGCTTTGCGCGCTCATGCTGCAGGCGTGCCGTGAAGCCCGGCTGCTGTGCCTATAGTCACCGTATAGTGTGTAATTTCCTTAGGAAATAATTCTATGGAAGTTTCGACAGGAATAAAGGCCTACAACTCCCAGCATACTCCTGCAATACCTACTCTGTAACTTAAATGTAAAGAAATCAGATGGCCGCATTCCAATGAGATACATGTACCAGCCCAGAACCGTATGGAAATAATACGCATCGAAGTAATATCTTGTAACGACTCCTACTTTAAAGCTGAATAATCTGCAGCACAAGCTCCCGACAAAATATTTATTTTAAATGTTGGAGAACGCCGAAAATCTATTGTAATAGTTTCTTGCAGTCTCGTGAGCAACTGCAAAAGCTCGGCTGCTGTCCTTCCTGACGCAGAGAAGTTCCAGGAGGAACTTTGCCTCTTGGATTTCTGTCATTTCAATTAAAAAAAAAAAAAAAGGTCGGAACCCAAACCCTAATTAATCCCCCCCTTTTTTCTTTTTGTTTGGTAAGGAGCATTCCCCAGCGCTCTTTTGCTCCCTCTCCCCCGTGCCGGCCGTTGTTCCAACTTTCCTTTGTGAGTCATGCCCGGTACATAACCGCTGCATCTGCCCCCATGTGGGCTCGGAGGACCCACTTGCTTTCTAGGGGTCTTAGTCCGAAAGAAGCACGCATGCGGAGCTGCCCCTGTTGGGATATCAAGCCTAAACTCACTGGGCAGTAAGCTCCCTTGACCTCCCAGGGAGCTTGCTTCAGGAATAACAGTGTCCTGCGATGCCGCTGTCAGAACCGTGCTCAGCTCTGAAGCCGGCGAAAAGAAACGACAGGTGGCTCGGGACCCCTCGCACACACGTGGAGCGGCCCGAGCGAAAGCGGGACCCGCCGCGACCCTTCTCCGCCAATCACGCGCCCCTCTCCCTTCCCCGCCGGCCAATGGCGGCGGCCGGACGCTCATTTCAAACACTCCCTTCTCAGGAAGCTGCGCTGAAGCGCAAACATGGGGATGCGGCATGCTTCGCTGCTCAGCCAATCAGAGGGCGGGAAGTCATGAGTGGCGGCCCGGGAGGGGCCAATCGGGAAACGAGAAGAGCTTGGGTTGTAATCTTTTTGGAAAGAGTTGTATTGAGGGGAGGGGAAAGAGTCTCCCCTTCCTTTGTAGTAGATTGTCAAAAACGATAAGAGAGATTCCGTCGCGGGGCTGACCGAGCCCTTGCTAGCAGGAGTCATGGCTAAAGGTAACCTCCGTCCCCCCGCTTCCGTCCCTTTCTGTCGGTGTGTTGAAAATAGTATGGGACGGGGTTTTGGAAGGAGGGGGCCCCGCGGGAGACAGCGGCCCTAAATGAATAGGATTTTCTCTTGTAAACGGGGGCATGGCAGGGAGAATTGAAAGGTATCCGAGAAGATGGGTACGGAGGTGAATTCAGACGAGCGAAGTCACTGTCCTTCGGCAGTGGCATGGGGGGCTGTCAACGCTGGGTGAGAGAGTACGGGAAGAAATTATACGAGGACAGGCGGGAGGACTCTTAATGAGGTGCACAAATGTCCGTATGGGGAACCTGCAAGAAGGGCAAGAGTGCGACAGGAGTGCCCATGTTCCCCAGCAACTTATGTATGTACTCATATTGCCTTTGATATGGGGGGCAATATGGACAGCAGGATTAGTAGCCATGGATAGAAAGCCTTCCTCTACAGGAATTTGCTCTCTTCCCTTTTAAAGTTGCCCATATTGGTAGCCATCACTTCATCTTCTGGAAATGAATGTCATAGTTTAACTCTGCACTGCCTGAAGCCCCTCCCTCCTTTGATCTACCCTAAAACTCTCAGCAATCTGCTTCAGAGGGTGACCCCAATGGATTTTAGGGTTTTGAGAGTGGGGGGGGGTATGAGAGCTACTGTGACCCTCCAGATGCTTTGACCTACAGCTCTCATCAGCCCTAGCCAGTGATAAGAGGTGATGGGAGTCCTAGGCCAAAACCACTGGAGAGGCTCAATTAAAGCTGGGAATGGACACTTTGGGGACACACTGAAGGAATGGAGGGAGAGATCAAGGCGGCTGTCACCTGCTGAAAAACCAGTCAATGGCATGCCTTCTCATTCATGAATCTACATGAACATGCATGGATGGTTTAATTTGGCTAACTTGCTTCCCTGTGTGGAGGCTTCTAAAATGATGTTTTGCAAGAAAGGATGAAGGTGCCTTTTTGGGGTTTGAAGTTCTGAGGAAGATGAGGTAGAGGTGAGGAAGCATTTAGAGTTAGGGTGCTTGAGGGAATATGCAACTGAGCAATTGGACAATGTGATATTTGTGGGGGGCATCTTCAGGTGGACTTAAGGCTGAAGAATCCCTGTGGAGAGGTTAGTGTATGGACAGTACAGAAAGTGGCGTGAACAAGAAGTGGTGTGAACAAGAAGCTTTGCTTGCTTGCTTTTAGAAAAAGTTGGGAGAGCTTGGTGGCTTCATTTGAGCTTGGTTGGAGCAGGTTTATGAACTACCTCGGTGCACGCAAAGAGTGCCTTCACACACCGCAGAGTTATCACCCTTCCTGCAAACATCTGGCACCCTTGTGGCTTCCATGTGGTCAGATACTTTTTTTAAAAAAAGGATTAAGCACCAGCAGAGAGTAAAGTTTATAACAGGACTGGAGGAGAAAGGGATACCTAGTAGTTTAAATACAAAGACTGAGGGTACATCAATAGCTGTACAAAGGCACACCAGAAGTTACCCACAAGCTTTTAATGTCCATGCCAGACAAATGAATGGTGCTCAGCCTGGGGCTCGTGATCTGTCTAGAAATGCCACCCTTCAGATCAGTAATATTGCTTCCCTGAGGTTTACACCGTAAGTGTATGCAATGTTTTTCAACGAAGAAGGCAGCTCCTTGTCCCAAAGGACTACCAAGCCCCTGTTTGTGTGGGGACCCCATGGATCAGACCAGAGTCCATCCACTGGTAGGACAGCCTCTTCACACAGTGGTCTACCAGCTACCTGTGGGAAACCCCAAATGCAACAACTCTGTTTCATGCAGGTTTCCAGAAAGTAGTGTACACAGGCAAGCAAATTGCTTTGGCTCCTGGAGGTGGCATATTGCCCTGGGAAACAGTGACTTTCTGTTGCTATTTAAGAGCCTAGGGAGAGACATACTGGACCACACCAAGCGTTCGTCTAGTCCTCCCAGTGCTGTCTGCAGCAGTGGCTTTCCCCCTGGTGTGCCCCACTGCGGTTCCCGGAGGCAGACCGTAGCCCGTGGGATTAGTGGCACGGGTAGCCTTCTCCTTCAGTAATTTCTCCGCGCCCTCTGAACACCGCCCGAGGCGGTGCCCATCGCCACGCAGCGAGTTTCACAGCGCTCGCTCGCTCGCTCGCTCGGTGGCTGCCGCGGGGGCGGGGGCCGCGCTCCGCACTTGCTCGGGCCCTTCACCTGGCCTTCCGGCGGAGCGCCCTGGAGCTCTGCGGAGAGGGCAGAGCGCGGCCTCCACGCGGGGTCTCCGGAGGGGGCGCCGCTCGCCAGCCTCTGCCCTTGCGGGGGCAGCGCCGCGGCGGCGTCCCTTCCCGGGCGGGCGGGGCGAGGACTCCGCCTGGCGGCCGGGCTGGCGGAGTGCCTGCGGCGGAGCGAGCCATTTAAACATGGCGGTGGCGACGGCGGTGGCGGCCGCGGCCGGGGAGGCTGCGGGGACGGCCGCGGCGGCCCTTCCTCCGGCGACGGCCGCGGCATGAAGCGGGCCGCCGGGGCCGCCTCCTGACCGGGGCCCGCGCCCGCCTTGCCTTGCCTTGCCTCCCTCCCGCAGGCAGGAGGAAGATGTCCAAAGCCAGGGACGCCCGACGCGAGGAAGACGACCCGGCGGAGGTGGTGGCCGGCGCCGCGGCCGCCGACAGCGCCCAGAAGCGGGGGCCCGGCCGGCCCAGGATGAACGGGGTAAGGCGGCTCGCTGCCTTCCTTTCGCCTCCCCGATCGAGCCCCCGCGCGCTTCTTCGGGAGGGAGAGGGGCTGGGGGGCGGGCGGTCTGCGCTCTCCGGGCTGCAGCCGTTCCGGTGCGCGCTAGGCGCAGCGCAAGCGCGGCGGAGGCGCAGTCAGGGCCTCTGCCGGGGCGCCCGCGCGGTCGGAAAACAACGCGCCGAAAAGAAGCTGGGCTCCCGGGCTGCGCTTTGCAGAAATCGCGGGCAGTTAAATTTTGGGGACTGCCGCGTGGGGTGGGGGAGGATGTGCCATCCTCCCCTTCGCCTCCCTCCCTGTTCCTAAGCGCTTAACAGGGCGTTGGGTTGCAGCTTCCAGCCCAGCCCAGCCCAGCCCACCTTGGGGGCAGCAAGCTGAGGGGCTGTTTTAAAACCTCGCACCCACCCCGATCCGATGCAGTCTGCTGCAGCCTGGCACCTTCTAGGCCATGCAGAGGCGGTGTTGGAGAGTGGCATGCAAAGACTGGAGCCCCAGATCTCTGGAAGGCCCTCTGCCCCACCACCCTGCTCTACAGGGGCACTTGGTACAGGAGTCCTGACGAAATCTTTGCATGAGATCCCCCTAGATGAGCTGGCTTCTAGCCCGCACGTCATTTGCTTCTTGCCTTGGATCTCTCTGCCTGAAGCTTTTTTCTGTATTCTTTCTTCCCTTTTGCAGATGGGGGTAAACTTAGAGACAGCCTCCTTTTAAGAGACATACGCAAAGATATTAGAGCATCTGCAAATGGGTGCCCCTTTCTTTTTTCTTTCGCTCTTGTGGGCCTGAGCCTCAGAGCCTTTCAGTACCTAGCAACACCCCACCCCTGGAGTGGAACGGCTCAGGGCTGATGAGCCTTCTGGGCAAACATGTCTGGAGGCCAGGTGATGTTAGACTTCCAGGAATGTGTTAAAATGCGTTGGTCTAGCATTTGGGGCTCCTCCGAAGAACAACACTATGGCAAGCTTGCTTTGGAATGTGACAGTGCAGGGAGATGGTCATGAAGCGCCCTTATCTCTGGCCCCGTAGCCTTTTATGGGCTGCAAGAAACTCTCTGGTGCATTTGCTGCTTTCAGAATCTTAATCTCATTGTCATAGTGACTTGGCCTCTGGCACGTTTCCCTGCCCTTATGCCTGCCCAGTGCGTTGGAGTGCAACTCCCATCATTCCAGCCAGCATTCCTGACCCCTTGCCATATTGGCTGGGAATAATGGGGGCTGCACTCTAATGCCACCAGAGTGTGCTGGGGCAGGGAATGCTGGTTTGCTGTTGCGTTGCCCTTGTATCCTTCTCGCAAGGCACCCCGGGCAGCTTACAGGGCCGCCCTCTTCTGCTCCATGTTGTCCTCACAGCAACCTTGTGTGGTAGGTTAGGCTGAGAGTCAGTGACTGACCCCCGTCACCTGGTGAGCTTCATGGCTGAGTGTGGACTAGAAACCTGGTTCTTTGGAGTCCTAGTCCAACATTCGAATCTCTGTGCTGCACTGGCTCATGGTGATGCAGTGCGTTTCCCATTTCGGTGGTTAATTTTTGCAGCTTAAAAAGATCTGTTCCTCCCTCCGACATGCACATGCAGACAAGAGCACTAAAAATAGCAATCCTTTAAGCTAACTTCCCCAGTCCAGTACCCACCAGATGTGTTGGGCTCCATCTCCTATTCTTTTCAGCCAGTGATCAGTGGTCCGAAACATTGGGCGAGTACCATCACTGGGGAAAGCTGATGGAATTGTTTCCTCAGAAATCAACCCCAACTCCACTCAGTGGGGCTTACTTCCAAGTAAGTGTGCTCTTACTTTGTGCACGCACACCTGATCTTTGATGATTCTACTTGCTGTTGTTTTCTCTTGTCCACCATCACCCTCTGAAATTTCATTGTGCGTCACTCACACAGTTTCCTGTCTTAGCCATAAGGTCTAGAATCTTTATCTTTTTGCAAACAGAAGCACCCATTCTCTACTCAAGTTTACAGTACTGTTAAAAAAAGGAAGGTTTCCCTGAGAGTATAAACTCCTGTGCCCAGATATCCAAACCTTTGTTGTTCGTGTCTCTTCCTTTAGGAGAACATCTCTTCCTGTCAATCCAAAATCTATAACTACTTGAATCCTAACAAACTTCCTGCAGCCCGACCTCCACTTCAGGAGGAAAACTCCGCCGCACATCATGAAACCAATTGCCAAGACAAAGTGGCAGATGAAGCACCCAGGAAAGAGAATGGTAAGAAGACTCTTCATTATATCTCTGTGGCATGGGAATGAGCCTCGGCTCATTTTTCTGGCTAGACTGACCTGCACAGAAAGCCCCTTTTTCAAGAGTGGCACGAGAACAAGAGATGCTACACAGGGATGTGTGTCTGTCCCCTTGCTCTGTGCTCACAGCAGACCTGTGCACTGGCTTGGGACGAGGCATGACGATCGGTCCAGCGTCATCCTGTCAGCTTTGTGGTTGCATGGGCATTTGAACCCAGAGCCCTCCCTGCACAAATCTGACCCTCTAATCAGGAGCTGTAGAAGTCAGATGAGCAGATATTTTGGACTTCACCTCCTAGAACCCCCTGCCTCCACAGTGGGAGACTTTCCTGAATGAACCATTCAAGACAGCTGGTGGGGTGAGGGAGTCCATAACTGAATGCTCCCCCAGGTTAAGACACTGCTACAGTTCAGAAACCAGCAATGTGATGTTTCCTCCTTGGGCAGTAAAACCATCCCACAGTTCCACTGCTCTGTTGTCAAGGTGTCCTTCCCCTCTACCGGCTCTCTGAAATAGTTCCTGTGAGCCAATTCAGCCATTGCACAGAGCTGGGGGTTTTTTGGGTTTTTTTGCAACCTGCAAGATTTTTGTCATAAGAGAAACCGAAGGCGCTGAGAGAATTCCAGCAGAGGAAGTGTTGACCTTCATATAGTGCTCTGTAAAATGGGCACAGCAGGGAAGGGGTGCCAGTGGCTCACGGAGAGTGTGAAAAAGCACCTGCCAGTTCAGCAGTGAGCCCACCACGGAAGGGCACGTCCTGCATTTGTCACATACGGGCAGCCTTCTGCCCACCATGGGCCTCCGAAGGCAAACTTTTTCTTTTCAGCCCTCCTTGAGGGGGAGGCAGGTTTCTGCCGAGGTCACTGGCCCACCCTTTGGAATGCTGCACTGGAGTGCGCTGGCCTGCGGCTGGCCTGGCTGAGGTTGACCTGGGTTGGCCCAGTTTAATGCCTGCAGCAGCAGCAGCAAACAACCTGGTTCCCTCCAGATGTTTTTGTACTACACATTCTGCCTTCTCGACAATTGCACAAGATGGCCGAGGCTGGTGAGAGCTGCAGTCCCAGGCATCTGGGGAGGACCACTCCATAAGGTTCCTGGTGGGTTGTGTGCAGCCCTACCTAGGAGACGGTGGGACTCAAATTCGGGCTTTTCGGCATGCAGACATGTGCTCACGTGCTGGATGCGATAGCCCTCCTTCAGAAGCCACCGGCTCCCCAGCTGTCATTCGGGGAACCCAGTGGCAAACCCGATGTCAGTGTCAAAAAAAAATAAATACATGCGTGGCATAAAGGTTTGATTGATCAAGTTTGCCCATTTTAAACCTGAGTCCTGTTAAAGCATCAGTGGAAGGAGGAAGGTCCAAGTTTGGCTCTGCAGTCAGCTGTGTATGTAGAGGAATGGGGTGAGGGGAGAGCAGGCCGTCCCACAGCAGCCCCACTGCCTGTTCAACCCTTTGAAAGAGTTCTGTTTGGAGGCTGGAATGATGCTGATGTCGGGGCGCTGCTTGAAATGGGGCCGAGGGGAATGGGCACCACCCTTCCCGTGCACTGGAATCCCCTCCGTCCTCCCTCCCCTACCTGCAGGCAGGGTGAACATTGGCAGTGCAGCCGCTGATGGTGCTATGAAATCTGAGGGCCAGAATGACAAAGAGCCTAGGGCTGAAACTCCAGCATCCCTCGCCGACCCCAAACCAGACGCCTCCGAAAGTAAGACGCTCCCGCTGCCGGAGTCCGCTGACCCAGCAAGCACGAAGCAAGCTCAGAAAAAGGGACTCAAGACCAAGCCTGGCCCCAAAAGAAGGTGAGTGTCTCAGCGGCTGTTTACAGAGTCGGCTTGGCTGCCAGAGCTGTATGTGTTCCAGGGCCACCTGCTCAGCTCTGCTGTCCAATGGCTCCTTCTGCCAACAGGCCCGGCCACAGCAACCAGAAACAAACCAGAAAGGAAGAACGGTGCATTTACATGCAAACTGGAACTCCTGGTTTGTTGGTCCCTGAGCAAGAGATGATGCCAACACCCCTCACCGGTTTCCAGTTCCTGGCATGTTTATGAGTGACAAGCCAGGTGTCCCCATTCAAACCAAACACTGAGCCTTGCTTGCCAGCGTAGATGCTGGTCACTGAATCCATTTGTGGCAAGAGTGAAATTCGGGCAATTCAGACGCAAGCACAGTGGGCTGGTCCCCCGCTCCCCCCAAGTCTCCAGTGAACTTTGCCAAGCTCGGTCTGATTCCACAGAGCTGAATGGGCTAGTCTTCCCCAGATGATGGATAATGGCTGCAGGAGCAGCTGTTTTGGGAGACAATTCAAATTAAGACTTCTCTGTACCGTGTAATGCCTGCTTATTGTCACAGGGTGCTGCTATCACACACAATTAGATGGTGTAGTGAGATTTAAAAGTCATTTGGTGCTCTTTCCCCAGCCAGAAGCTAGTCCAGTTAATGCAGGGTTGGTGAATGTGTAGACCTCCAGTTGTTTTTGGACTACATGTTCCATTTGATCCAGCCAGGATGGCCAGTACTTGGGGATGGGGGATGTAGCAAAATCTTTGTTTTATTTGGAACAGAGATATTCCTGTCACAGAGATGCGGCGCTTGTTTAACAACCAGGTGGACGAATCCTTTTAGTATTCATGTGGCTTTCTCCATCTCTTTCAGAGCCCAAGGGAAAACACAACAGAACCGAAAGGTTACAGATTATTACCCTGTTAGAAGAAGCTCTCGGAAGAGTAAAAAAGAATTGCAGGTACTGTCTCTTCTGCGGTGTCAATTGATGCCTTTTCTAGGGTATTCCACCAAAGGAGCACTGTTGCAAAGAGTGACAGTGGAAATAATAATCCAAAATTGCAACCCTGGGCTTGTTTGCTTAGCATCCTGAGATTTTTGTTCGATGGATTGATGATTTGAGATATAACCCACCCTTCCAACAAAAATAAAGATCAGGATATATACATTTTGAAAGCAAGCATAGCTGAGACTGGCCCAAAGTAAGGGGACGGGAACTTGACCCCTGACCTCCTGAGCCCCCATCCAGCACCCTAACCACTATGCCATACTGATTAAATAGACATTGCATGGAAACAGGAAACAGGAAACTTTTTTTCCCCTGACTACGTAGCTTAAGATCCACAGGTGCAAGAGGGTTCAAAGTGGTGGTACATTGGTTAAGTATTTTGTGGAGGGGCCCATAGGAGGGTCTAAAGCTCCCAAAGCCCCACAAGTTCAAAATGACCCCTGGCGTATAGGATTTCAGGCTCATGGCACAATGCTGTCCATGTTTCAAGAGAAGAAAGCACAGCAGAGCTGGCTGGGACGTGCTGGGAGTTCTAAGGGCTTCTTGGTCTACGCTTGCATGGGGGGTTCATATTCCTCTAATGGCAGTATCCACACTGGTTTACAGGATGTCTCTTCTTGCCTCTTTGCAGATCGAGGAGAAGAAGCAGATTGATGAGTTAATAAAAAGTGGGAAAGAAGATGGCATGAAGGCAAGTGGAGAGGAAATGGTGGTGGCTTTTGTATTCTTTCTGGGTTCCCTCTGGGGCTGGGGAGGTGGGGTTCATACGGCCTATTAACTAAAAAAAACCAAGCAGAACGTGCAACAAACTGCTGCTGTTTGGAATTATCTTATTCGGCCTGCCAGCCATCCAAGTCCTTTTCTAGAATACTCCATTCCATCCCTCTGCTCTGCACTCAGCTTGTCTCCACTCCCCCAGCAGTCAGCCGGCATTCAGTGGTTCGTAGGCTTTGGGGGTGGAGGTGCTGCCCTAAGATTCTCTCTCTTTTGTCCTTCTGCAAACTTTCTCTGTCTCTCCTGAACCTGCTGATACCTCGTCCTGCAATTTGTCCTTGTCCTGGGTAAGAACCCACAATCAGGCAAAGAGTTTGCTCCTGGTTATTTAGGATTTCTATCCTGTCTTTCATTTTGTAAATCTACAAGGAACCAGATGCAAATCCTAACTCCCCCACAACCCCTTTTAGGGTAAAAACAGGGTCAAAGCCCCCAATTCGCACACAAGCAGCTAATCAAGCTGGGCAGTCCATGGGCATTTTTAGTTGATGACAGCCCTGGAGCTCCAGAAAGTGCGTCAGTTTGCATGAGACCTGGAAGCCCACTATCTCCAAAGAAGAGCTTGCTGGGCTGCAGGCTCACTGTCGAAGGTGAGAGCCTTCGGGCCTCCTAGGCCCAGCGGCAGCATTTGTCTCAGTTCCCTGTGCACTGTAGCCATTTCAGTTCCTGGCACCCTAGCCGCTTTCGGGACTTTACGCTTTGGCCAAGTCCTGCACACTCCCCAATGTCTCACTTCTGAAGTCTGTGGGAGCCTTGAAAGCTGCCTGGAATGTGTTCATGGGCAGCAGCTTTTCCAAGTCAGAGAGAAAGGAATCCAGCAGGGCGCATGCAAGACCATCGACTCCTCCCAAGCAGCTCGTGGTCCTCCTGCAAGTTTTGTTCCTTGCTCTCCCCAGATTGACTTCATCGACGGCAAGGGGCGAGGGGTCATCGCAACGAAGCAGTTCAACCGGGGCGAGTTCGTGGTCGAGTATCATGGAGATCTCATTGAGATCACGGACGCGAAGAAGCGAGAGGCTGCATATGCCCAAGACCCATCCACAGGATGCTATATGTACTACTTCCAGTACCTGAGCAAAACCTACTGGTGAGCATCCTCTTCTGTCTGTCTGCAGAGTTAGTCTTTTAGAACAGGGTGGGCAGAAAGTAGGCCTCTAGCCTCTTTTGGACCTCATCTCCCAGCATTCTTGACCATTGGTCATGCTGGCAGAGGCTTCTGGGAGCTGACATCCAAAACAGTTCGGAGATCTACTTTCTGCTTGCACTTGCTTTTCAGGGTAGCATAAGGCTGATTCTGACAGCTGACACACTTGAGGTGTATTTGTTGGCTTCCTGGAATTAAAATAGGGGCAGTATTTGACCTTAGCATCCCAAAACGCTTACTTCTGCATTGCGTACAAGGGAGTGATGCTGCCCTATTTAATAGCTGGCATTACAGTCAAGCCCACAACTTTTCCAGTGCTACCTTAGCTTTATCTCCTCAGAAGGAAGGCCTATTGAAATCCAGTAAGGCTTACTGTCAGGAAAGTTTTTTGAATTGCAATGTCGGTGGGATGAATTGCTTTGGTAGACATGTTCGGGATTTTGAGAGACAGTTGTGGGCACTCTCACAAAATGGCTACTGTTGGGGTACTTTGCCCATTCATAAGATGGCTGCCTTGGCTGGTCACCAAGCACCCAAGGCTGCTTGTAATCTTCCAAAGTACAAGGCAGAAATGGGACTGAGCCCCAAAACTCAAATCTGCTCTTTTAATAAAACCCCAAGAAACATGATGTGGGGGCAGCCCTTTGCTTTGTAGCAAGGCAGCCTCCCAGTATGAAAACCAAAAATTAAGAAGATCTTACGAAATACCGTAAAACTCAGGAAGGGCAGGGGCCTGAGGACCCTTGCTATACTTTGGGACCCAAGTTTACCAGCAACACTATTGAACTCCTTTTTGTGAATTCGATAAAGAAGAAACGAGTACTTTACTCTAAAGGCTTCAAGTTTCTCTTTCTGCATCTCTCTTTTTTAATCAAATCCGGTGGACACCTAAATTCATACATTAACCTTGTTCTGCTGAAGTAGCCCTGGGAGCTTTTATTCTTTTTTCATATTATATAAGTTGTGCCACAGAGAAACATGCATTTATCTGTTATTTTTGGTCCTCCTCCTCCTCTTGGTTGTTGCCTACCTACTCAGCGTCGACGCTACAAAAGAGACAGATCGTCTGGGAAGACTGATCAATCACAGCAAATGTGGCAACTGCCAAACAAAACTCCACGACATCGATGGCGTCCCCCACCTCATCCTGGTCGCCTCCCGTGACATTAAAGAGGGTGAAGAACTATTGTATGATTATGGAGACAGGAGCAAAGCGTCCCTAGAAGCTCATCCGTGGCTCAAACACTAGCTGATCTCGCTGTTCCTGGAATGGACTTTTATCCATTTTCTCTAAATGAAGACTCAGTAGCTTTGTTTACAGCTCTTCTGGTAGATAGCTTCCAGTCTTTACTGTAATGATGATGGAATATGTCAGTTGGGGGAGTGTCTTTGCCCAAAGAGACTTAGAACAGAATGCCAGATTCTTATTTTTTATAAATTAGGATGATCTGGATTCTCACATTTTTACTCCTCCTTTCCCTTTGTCTATAGATAAATTTATCAGCACTTCTTGACAATGTTCGATTAAGCTAATAGGAACTTTTACAGAGGGGATGCTGTTTGTGAGATTTCTCCATGTTGCAGGTCACCTTTCCGCTCATGGGGTGAGAAGGGAAAGGTGACAATAGGAAAGCAAAGCTCTGGTATCAGATGAGCATGGCCCATTTTAGAAAACAAAAATGTGAACACCTGGGAATAGGTAGCACTTTTACTCTGCCTGCAGTTGTGTTTTGGTGATTGTTGGCTACTACTGGGATGTCTCTTGAGTTTTGGGTGACTGCTTGTGAACTTCTGCTTGGATCATCCACATTCATACTTGATGTTGGCACTCGCTGTTACATATGCCTTGGATCGCTGTAAAAGCAGAGGACGGATCACCCCAGAGGTCTGCCCAGGAAGCCTCTGACTGGCAACGACATGGACAAAGGAAAATTCCAGAAGCAGAGCCTCTGCCCGTTCAAAAGTATCCCATTGGCCTCTCAGCTGCTGTTGGCTCTCCACGGAGAGAGACCGTCCAACAAGTTGACTTGGTAGTTCCCGATTTCTGTAGCTACTGACTGGACCCTTTCAGCTTTCTCTTTCACCAAACACCAGCAGGCCTGAACAAGGCCCAGAATGGGATTTCCTCCGGGATTCTAGGGCTTCCCCATGGGGGCAGGGCCTGGGGGTCACTGGAAGGCTCCCTGCTTTTTGCAGCCGCACTCCTTGCACTGTTGCTCTGGCCATGCCATTCCTTGGCTTCTTTTTAGGCTGATAAAAACTGTCTGCTCCAAACCGCAGTGGCCAGGAAGTGTGGCAGTTCTTGGGGCAGCGCTGAGGGGTGGGGAGTGCCTCTCCCAAGAGCGGGTTTGGTCTGGAGTGTTTGATGAGGCTGCTGCCTGGCTTCATCCAAAGCTGGATTGTGGGGAGGAGGAAAAGGCGGCTTGCTTCCTTGTTCCCTTTGCTTGTATCACCCGTCTTGATGGCTTGTTCCAGTGCAGCCTTCCCCAGTGCTGGCCCCTCCGGATGTGCTGGTCCGTATGTCCCAGCATCCTCCAGCCAGCCATACTAGGATGCTGGAATGTGTAGTCCAGCTAGAGGCTCTTGGCTTAGGAGCAGTTTGTTCTAGTGCCAAAGGCCAGCTTGTGTTTTTCCATGCCTGTACATATCCAGCTCGTGTTCCTCTGCGTCGTGTCCTTTTTTAAAGAGATGTGAACTCCACAATCAAGGTTGCTGGATATTTTAATAAATGGCGTTTTGATCCATGTGGAAATGTGAACTGACATATTAGTAATGACTCTGAAGAATTAAGCTTGTCTCTCCTAGAAACGGAAGGAACAAGCAGGCAAGCAACTAGGAGCAAACAGTGCTTTTGATGCTTTTTATATAATAGGTCTGTCTGGTTGTGGTTGTCCGCTTTTTTTGTTTTCGAAAGAGTACTTTTTTAAGGAGGAGGATTTTTAAGAGCAGAGTTTCACAGGGCATGCAGCTGTTTCCAACCACCGCTTTGCTCTGCAGCATTTGGTTGGTCCTGGCGCAAGTGTCAGATTATTTATTAACTCTGGTTGACAGAACCATGTACGAAACCCTCTCCTTCTCTGTTACGCCTGTGTGCCCAGTGAAGCTCAGAGCTAGGGGTTAACGAAATACTTGCCTGCGAAGCCGTGTATTTGTTAGGGTAAACTCCCCACTCTGGGACCCAGTTCTCTTGGGCTTGGGCTGCACGGAGCTCGAAAGGGGCTGGAGGCTTTCCAAAGGAAGGCCTTGCTGGAAGCACATGGGTGGCAACCGGGATTTGGTCCCATCTCCAGCTGCTTTGTGTCTTCCAAGCTCATTTCTCTTCCTGAGGTGTGGATTTGGGTTGCTCTTTGGATTTTTTCTCTTTGCCCAAGGGGCATACGTGCAGCTGCAGCTTCATGCTACGTAGGGGAAGGGAGGGAGTTGAGGTTTGTTCACAAAACCGCCATGACCTCTTGGTTGTGCACTTCAGCAGCAACTGGGGGGGGGGGGTGACCTGGCTGGGTATTGTATTTTTTAAAAGGAAAAAAATCAACTTGAAGAAAATATTTCTCTGTTTAAGAAAATGAATAAAATGAGGTATTTATTAACTAATGGTCTGTTGGTGTTTCTGTCCCTGGGTGATTCTTGCTGTGCAGCCTTTCTGTGCCCCACACAGAATTTTACAGCCGCTCCAGAAGTATTGCTAAGACCTCTGTTTCGAGGTTTTTCCCTGGCGCACCAGTTTGTTTTGCAGAGTTTTGAGTGCCTACTGATGCCATTTTTTTCTTCAATCGTTACAGGCTTCCCACAAATCCTTAACAACATCAGACATAGTAGAATACAGGCAAATAAAGCCAAACTCCCATATTAATCTTTTGCTTTCATGTTCATTAAGACGCTGCATCTAGCTTTCTCCCTATTAGTCTCTGTCTTCCACTGTTTTATTACGTTTTTCCAGAATGATTTTTAGCTGTCAGAGATCTATGGTCCACTGCTCCTTTATTCATGAAAGCGATATATGGAGATGTGGTTAGCACGAATGGGTCGTACTTTGCAGATGCCTGAACCAGTCGAGTGTGTTGTGTAAATCATGCGTCCTAAGAGAGTTCAAATCTCTTTTCCATTGGTATAATCTGACAGCCATGTCCAGATAAGGGCTGTTTTCCTTCTGAGCAGTGAACTCTGAGAAAAGCGCAATTCAACACTCCCAAACACCTTTACAAGTACTACAGAAACCAAGATGTATGAATTGATTCTATTCTTTGCAGACATATACATAAATGCACTTCTGGTAAAAAGTTGATGCTTGTAACAAAAGTAAGTGAGGTTATTACCCTTGAACATCAACCAGGGAATCTCCTCAAGATAGGATGCTAACTTTACATAAAAACATGAATTGTGAAACATCCCTTGGCTGCAGAGAACAACCGCTGAGATCTTCCAATACTGTAGTTTCCGGTATTGGGGGTTCTTTCTTGCTTCCTGTGGGGCCTGAGTCCTCAAAGTGCAGCAAGACTTCCCCATCATGACCTTTTAAAATTGAACCTGCATTTGAAGGGGCAACAGGCAATAGTGAAGGTACCAGATGCGAGAGAGGCAACAAGCAGGCTTCTTGGTCAGTTTAAGACATCCCGATCAGTTTAGGGTGCAGTCCAGTGCTCCCACACGGCAGGCAGGCAAAGCTCCAAACTCAGTGGTTTATATGCCCCCACTCCTCCACTAGGCCTCGCACCCTGCCTTCCATCTTGGCAGCCATTTTGGGGGAGGAAGAAAACTGGGTTCCCCCCTCGGTATGACATAAGCTGTTGGGTCCTGCCTCCTCCTGGCTCAGACTCCAGCTTCAGAACACTTCTCCTCCTCTTTGAGGCCAATCTGCGGCTTTACCAAGGCAACTGGCACAGGTTTTTCCATGCTGGCTCTGAGAGGGTGGGGCAGGGGCTCAACTTGTTTCTAAGTCAGGCTCCCATAATCACTGGGCTCCCTCAGGCTGCCTGTGTGCTGCTGACATCTAGCAGCCCAAAATGGAAACCATTGGGGTGGCTTGGGATTTGTATGGTGGGCCTCATCCTGGTCTTGTAATGTCTACTTCGAGCTAATTCAGATAGCTCAGCTATTTCACAAAAGGGGACAAAAGTGCAAAGGGTTCCTGGGGGATCGCAGTGTTGTAGGGTCACATCCTGCTCCACACTTAATGCTGGCCCTGTGAGAATGAGGTAGCTGTCTCCAGGTGCAGGGGAGAAGCTGGAACGTGGAAGGTACTGAGGAACAGAGCTGGGTGTGCCTTGTGAAAACTGCTCTGCACCCCATGAGCCTTCAGGAATAGCAGAGGACAACTAGGGTCTGAAGGCATATTCCAATGCCAGTCTGCTATTGTGTGATCTTTTAGTCTACAGCTGGGCAGATAGTGGCCCTCTAGATGTTTCAGTCGACCACCAGGCCTAGTCGGAAGAGCCAATGGCGAGGGCTAAGGAGAGCTCTAGGCCAACACTTCTGGAGGGCCTGAAGGTGCCCAGCCCTGGTTTAGTCGGGCCTTGTGGATTATGGATCCTCAGCCCACAACAGACCCAGAAGGTCTATCAAAAGGAAGCTGTGTGACTCACAGTTTCTTGATGATGGTTTTCTCCCCGCTTCCTTTACTGCAATGGGAAGTGGTGCTCCTGCCCGGTTCCTTCAGAGTTGGCTTGACCCAGTCCTGCTTCTGTGATATTAAGCCACTGCGGGGTAAGAGAGAAAGATCTTATTACTATTTCCCGTATTAGACATTACGGAATATCTTTACAGAACTCATTAAAGTGGGATTTCCACAAACAAAAAGGTGAGATCCCAACTATGTCAGTACAAAGTCAATTTAGTGCAGCGTTCTGTTTGCCCAGCAGTCAGACAAACAATTTTGGGAAGTCCACAACATGCTCCCCAGGTTCCCCAGAAGAGACTGATACTGGATGTAATAGGTAACCATCACCTAGTAGCCTCCACGAATAAATCAAATTCCTTTTCAAAGCTGTACAAATCGGCGGCCTTCAGTAGCAAGTTTCAAGGTTTAACTCTAGAGTATGTGAAGTGCTTCCTTTTCTCTGTCCTGAATTTCCCACCATTCACAGGTGGGTTACACTCCACACAGTAGCAGCTATATAAATTAACCAAATAGCTAATCTAGCATTTAATCGCAGCCATGAAGCTGAACTCCTGATCTGTTCAAGAGTCCTGAATGTCGCACAGTCTTATCATCAGAACTTCAGTGGGCAAAATGTAATTGGATCAACAATCTAACAACACGTCTTTAAAAAATATTATCTAGCAGTGTGCCCAGTAGTGGCTTGTGACCCCTGGGGCTAGCAGGGTAGAAGGCAGGCAACTGCTCGGAGGAGGTGGAGTCACGGGGCTGTTGCAGGCAGAGCCAAAGGGTCATAGTGAACTACAGAAGCAACCCATTGCAGAGAAAGGGGAAACTGAGGCCATCTACCCAGATCAGCATTTAAGGATTTGCTGCAAGTACCACCTTAGAGGGAAGCTCAAGAGGAGGGGGCTTCTCAGGGGCAGCCCCCAACTGTGGAATGGTCTCTCCACTAAGGCCTGACAGGTGCCAGGCTTGTCATCCTCCCTGTGGTAAGGCATTTAAAAGATATCTACGTTTATCTAATGGCTGGTAGTTGTCAAGAGACCTATTCTTTATGCAATTCTATTTTTTAGCTGCTAAATTGTTTTAAACATGTAAACTGTTTTTAAATTCTGTATTATGGAAGAATACGGTTGTTTTGTTGCACTGTGCTCCTGTTGAAGGAGTGTAACAAACTACCCAGAGACTTTCAGCTATTAGGCAGTAGTGCACTTGAATAAACTAACTAACTCTGGTATCATGCCTCTAAAGGAAAGAGCCACACAGCAAGAGAAAACCACTTTTTGTATACACACTTTTCCAGTCTAGCAACCATCACCGTTGTGCAGCGGAGACACAATGAGGGGCAGCTCCAAGATAATTAGTGCAAAGCTGCGGGCGGGGGGTGATCTCTCTTTCTCCCGGTCTTACTTTAAGCAACAGGTGGCCTGATCCACCTTGGCACTGCCCTTCCCACACAAAGAAAAGTCCCACACCACAGCAGACCTCTTATAGCACTGCAGCTCTTCCTGCGTGACTAGCAACTGGGCCTTCAGCTGGTTGCGCTCTTGAAGAACCTCCTTCAGCTCCTGCAGCGTGAAACGGGGTCGGTTCGCATCTGTGAGGTCTATGATCATCTGGTTGGGACCCAGGTTTACCTGCAAGACCATATAATAACAAACTCAGGGAATATATGCCAATGGAAAAGGAGCCAAAATGGAACCACTGAGAAATCAGGGCAAGCTACTGGCATGCTAGAGGGAATCCCAAGGTAACCCCAAGGGGATAAGATGGAGGAGGAGATGTAAGCTGCCTTGAGCCCTTTGTAGGAAAAAGGCAGGCTATAAATGGAAAAATAAATAAATAAAATAAAGGTTTGCTGAGGTTCAGGAAAACTAAACAGCAGCAGCAACAAAAGGGGACTCCTCACAATGTCATGAAGAAAACTGAGTACTCAGTCACAGAAAGCCAGGAAAAGCGGTTTAGCGAAGCCAAGGTTTGTAGAGATGCAACACTTAAAAAAAAAAATAGCAGGGACGGCTGACCTCATCTGTCAGCTTCCCCTTCCCTGTTCTCTTTGAGCTTAGCTACACTTCCCGCAGTAGCTGGGGACAGGGAGGAATGAATTTCCATAGCAACAATGTATTTCCCTTGTTGTCCTGCAAAGATTTTGGAGCCTGGCTTGGCCCTCAATGCACAAGGAAGACCACAGGCTTTCTAGACAACCTATTTGTTGTAGATGAAACCGCTGGTGGGTTGATGCAGATCACCACAGCTGCCCACATGTTCGGATTCCCCTTGGTGGGGGGATGGTAGCTATGGAGATTGCCATGACGCAAGTCTGAGTTTCGAAATTTACTCTATACTTCTGGACAACACGTTTAAGCACACAACTGAAGGATGAAAAAGCTTGGGAAAATAAAAGGCTCTCTGCAGGGAGCCCCAAGATGCCAGTAGGGCTCCAGCTGAGCCTCCCTGCGGATAGAACCTCCACATGCAGAGGCCGTCTATCTGGTGGGCAGCTGGTTGCAAAATCCTGGGTTAGTTGACAGTTCCTCTTTTTCCACCCCACCCCACCCCACCCCGAGTCGTCTGAAAGAATACTGAACAGAGAATACTCCCCGTTTTCTTTTCAAGGAATTCAAGGCAGCTTACCTCCTCTCAGTCCTGACTTCGCAACCACCACCCTGCGGGGGAGGGTGGGCGGAGGGTCTGCGACGGTCTGGGACCCGGTGAGCGGGGCCCAGCTCGCCCGCGGCCCAGTCCCACGCTCCAGCCACTAGGCCACACTGCCCGCGCGAGCACAGGGCGCCTCTGCCGGGCCGGGCCGGGCCGGGCGCGGCCCCCCCGTGTCCCGCTCCCCGCCCGGGGCGCGCCACGCTCACGCTCACGCTCTGCCGGCGCCGGCGCGGGGGCACCCACCTCGGCCGAGCCGGCGCGGCCGCCCTGCGCGCGGAGCCCGTCCACCTCGCGCCGCAGGCTGTCGCGCTCCAGCCGCAGGGCCTCCGCGGCCACGCAGTGCTCGCTGACCAGCGCCTCCAGCATCTCCAGGACGCTGACCACGCGGAACTGCAGCCGCGCCACCCGCGCCGCCAGCCCCGCGCGCGGCTCGCGGCCCAGCGCGTGCAGCTCGCGGCCCAGCAGGTACGAGATGTCGTACACGTCCTCGGCCGTCAGCTGGAAGGCGCTCTTGGCGAAGGCGCCCTCGCCGCCCCCGCCCCCGCCGCCGCCGCCCTCCTCCTCCTCGCTCTCCTCCTCGCCCTCCTCCTCGGCGCCCTCCTCCTCCTCCTCGTCCGGGGGCGGCGCGGCCTGCATGCCGGCGCGCGGCGGGGTCCCGCAGGCGAGGCGCAGACGAGCGCGGCCGGCCGGCGGGCGAGGCGAGGCGCGGGCCCACTTCCTTCCTCCTCCGAGAGTCACTCGGCCACCGCGCCGCCCGGAGGGGAAGCTCCGGCCCGAGGCGAGCAGCAGGGGCGGCGCCGGGCGCGGCGGGGCGGGCGCCGCGGAGCTGAGGCGGGGACCCGCCCGCCCGCCTGCCTCAGTCTCGCTCGCTCGCTCCCTCCCTGGAGTGGCTCCGCGGGGCCCTGCGCCCGCCCGCCCGCCCGCCCTTCGTAGCCCCGGGACCGCGCTCTGCGGCGCTGCCAGGTACTTTCCGCGGGCCTTGGCGGGCAGCGCGGCCTGGCGCGGCGCGGCGCCCCTCGCCCTGGGCCATCGCGGGGCCGCCGGTGCGCGGGGTCGCGCGGGGGGGGGGGGGCGGGGGCCCCCCGGGAAAAACCCGGGGGAACCCGGGGGCAGGGGGCGCAGCCCCCCCCCCCCACGGCCCTTTCCAGCCTCACAACAACAACCCGGTGAGGTGGCCTGGGCTGAGGAAAGCGAGCGACTGGCCCGACCCGACCCAGCGAGCTTCCCGACTCACTGCGGACTAGAACCCAGATGGGCAAGGGCCGCAGCCCCCCACTGTAACCCCCACTGCAACCCCGGCCCTTCCACCGCCATCACAGCCCCATTCCACCAGAAGCAAGATAATGTGTGAGAAAATAGGAACTTTAAATCATCTATTCTTTACCTGCTTTCCCGGGCATCCCTTTTCCTCTTCTTTTGTTCCCTTGGGGCCACCGTACCTACTAAGTGTAAGGCCTCATAGATCTAGGAGAGAAAATAATAATGGTGGTGGTGGTGGTGGTGCAGGTTTTGACTGAAAAAAGCATCACAATTCTCAGCGGTCCTCCAGCAAGCCATGCTGGCCAGGGAATGCTAGGAATTGTTGTTGTTCTAAACATGCATAGGATTGCACCCTAGCATGAATGTTATTTCTTAAATCGGGCGACATACGCAGTTTCTGCAAGCAGGGGGCACCCTTCGGGCACCTGTTAAGCAAATCTATCTTCATTTTGTTGTCCTGCAGATTCGCACTGGGCTGGGTCATGTGCAGAGGAGGGAGCCCTTTGACAAAGCTGGGCGGTGGGAAGGATCCTGCCCTTTTAATACTTACTGTTGTCAGATCAGAGGAATCATCCACGGTTGGCTCAGGGGGGGCGGTTTCTGATGAAGCAGCGGCTGTGGGGAAGAAGCTGCCTCCTTGCCTGGCCCCCTCTCCCCACTTGCCTTTGGTTTGCAGTTCCCAAGATCATGGGGAAGGACAGATGTAGTTGGGATGCACTGGGGGACTGTGCATACACCCCTCTAGGCTGCAGGTGGGGAAAACATTTGAGGCAGAGAGGAAGGCAGGAAATCTGGGCTTGCCAGCTGACTGTTCAGGTTGCCAATGGATCCACCTGGACTGTCCTTTTGCCTCGCTTTGAAGACTTCTGTTTAATAGCCAGGGACAGTGCTAGGTACCCACACGATTTGAGGTTGTGCCCAACAAGACAAAAAGACCCAGAAATTTGCAGAAGCTAATTTGCAAACTCTCTGAAGTCTGCATGTATGTGCGTGTGCTTTTAAAGAAGCCGGTCTCCTAAGGACACCTCTATTTGTAAAAAGAGATTTAGGGGAGAGGAGGGTATTTGATTTCATCAAAAAAAACATCCACAGAAAGATTCAAAAATAAAGGGCAGCAGGAGGTGAAGCTTGTGTGGGCCGAATGCTAGTTCATTCAGGGGACCTGATGCAACCAAAATCACCCGGGCCCCTGCGTGTTTATTTCTGCAAGTACCCCACAGATAGCAAGGCAGTGGGCCAGGCAGCCTCCCAGAGATTCAAGGCTCCAAATGACTGATGCAGAGCTCTTGCGCTTGTGGGCTGCCCCCAAACACCTCCTCTGTTAGAAGCCTTGAGAGGTAGCATGTAGCCAGCAGGGCTAGTCGCCACTGATAGTCTCCTCCTCCACGAATCTGTCCAGTCCCCTTTTAAAGCCATCCAGATTGGTGGCTATCACCACTTCCTTTGGCAGTGAATTCCACAGTTTAACTATATGTAGTGTGAAGAAGTCCTTCCTTTATTAACTGGAAAGCCGATACAAATCCGTGTAATCAAGAAGTAAGAAAATAATGAACAGAATTAATAAGACCGTGAGGAAAACTGTGCTGGATTGGACCAGGCTCCTGTTCAAACAGTGGCCAGCCAGATGCCCATGGGAGATTAAGCAGAACACCTCCTTCCTGCCCACTGGTATCTGATAGTGGAAGTAGCATAAAGCCGTCACTTAGCCTCAGCGTGCATCAAGCGCCTGTTCTCATCAGGAGCACACTCTCCTCTCTCTCCAGACAATGAATGAGTGGGCGCCCATCGCGAAGGAGTATGATCCCCTCAAAGCAGGGAGCATCGATGGAACAGACGAGGAACCCCACGACCGTGCTGTCTGGCGGGGGATGCTGGCACGGTACGTGCCCAACAAGGGTGTGTCGGGAGACTCACACCTCACCCTGTTTGTGGCCAGGCTCAACCTGCAAACCACAGAGGACAAGCTGAAGGAAGTCTTCTCCCGGTACGGAGAGATCCAGAAGATCCGCCTGGTTCGAGACCTCGTCACCGGGTTTTCCAAGGGCTATGCCTTCATTGAGTACAAAGAGGAGCGGGCGCTCCTGAAAGCTCATCGAGATGCCAACAAATTGATTATTGACCAGCGTGAGGTCTTTGTTGACTTTGAGCTGGAGAGGACCCTCAAAGGATGGATTCCCCGGAGGCTCGGGGGCGGCTTTGGGGGCAAAAAGGAGTCAGGGCAGCTGCGCTTTGGAGGCAGGGACCGGCCGTTCCGAAAGCCCATCAATTTGCCTGCCATGAGAAGCGATTTTTACAGAGAAGGAACCACAGGAAAAAGAGATCGGCCTTGGTTTCGGGAGGGTGCAAGGGACTGGAAGGCAAGGGACCGGGATCACGAGAGGAACAGGGAGCAGAGACATTCCGAAAGGGAGCGCTCACGAGGCTCAGGCGAAAGAGACCGCGAGCGGCACAGCAGAGACGAAAGGAACAGAGGGAAGGAGGAAAGAGACAGAGAAAGAAAAGAGCGGAGTCGGGACCACAGCTTGAAGAAACAGAGGGATGAAGATAGGAACTGATCTGATGCTGCTTGACTAGAGCCCCAGTGGATTATGGGAAGGCATATTGGTCCAGCCTCTGGAACAGATGAACCAACGTCTGGATGACTTATTCCGATGGTTTGGGGGAAAGGAAAGGTCATTTTTGTTAGGGCAGCCTTCTCCAAGCTGGTGCCTCCAGATACATTGGATAGCAAATGTCCTACAATACCTCTGGAGGGCACCAGCTTGGGGAAGTCCTGAGGGGACTCTGCACTGGGCAAGGGAAAAGGAGGGACTGTAGAATCGGCAGGAAGGACAGAAGAGAAACAGAGGCATTCCGGAAGAAGAAAAGGGACCCAGACCGTTCTGTTCAAGGCAACCATGGAAAAGGGCAGCAATGCTTAGGAAGTGAAGGACTGAATTTCAGGCACTGCTGCGAGTGAATTAGCTACATGTTTGTTCAAATTCTGTTTGTTCTTCCTGAAAAAAATTGGAGGATTCTTGTTAATTCAGAAATAGTTTATTTAGAAGATTAAAAAGGTCTACAGTTGACAAAGCCCTATCTGTCGCTCTCGAAACAAACTCTTTATTGCATTGCTACCTTAATCACACCCTGAATCTTTAATAAAGATACTAATTCACTCCTTTTATATATCCTACTGCTGCAGTCAGTCCAAAGTACTATAACTCCCATAGTCCCTAGCCACCAGTCATGCTGGCTGGGGGTGATGGGAATTGTACTCCAAAGTATCAGTGCCCCTGTGCTAGACTTTTCCAGACAAGTGCATTGTAACAGTTGTCACTAGACTATTAGCCGCCTCCAGGGATTAATGGTAGGGAAAGTAAGACCTCTGTGTTCTTGTAAGCCAAATATGTGACCAAGGCATTAGGGTACCTTCAGTGCCAAGTATCAGTCCAATGCATTTGTGATCCCACAACATGACTGCAGAATTTAGCAGCTAGCAAGAGGATAGTTCAGCTTCCTGAGAATATAAGCTACCAATTTTAAAAGCAGGGTTCTAGTCCTCATGTTAAGATAAACATATTTGCAGTACCTCCTATATTTTTAGAATGGAGTTAGTGTCCTTTGTGCCTCGGGAGGGCTCCATTTCCCTTTATTCTTAATCAAAGCAGAATAAATTATGCAAAACATGCATATTTGTATAATTTATCTAGGATGTAGAATAGAAACACTTTGGATAGCTCTAGCCACTTCTCCATGATCACTCTGTGGAATAGAAATGTCTCATGGAGCAAATCTGCAGACATCCATGTTAAGGGTCTGGAGGTACAGTTTCCTGGGTCTAACAAAAACGTTCCCAAATCACAAGCAAGTCTCGTGTGTTTTCCAGAACGTCATCGGACTCAATGTTTGAAAAACAAAACAAAAGAGCAAAAAGTAGGAGCTAAAGCTTCAGGGGCTGTAGCTTGTCATGGCTCAAAAATGGTGAGGAAGAACTGCGTGGCTGCTAAGGAGAATATACTTTAGCACAGCCTTGTAAACAGGCCCTGAGGCGCGTAGCCTGCGAGGAGTTACTAGTCTGCTATGGAGGAAGGGAAGCTCCCACTTCTGTTGTATGCGCCAAAGGCCAGCTTGCCACTCTCACAGTTGATTGGTAAAATTGTGCCTGCTTTAAGATAATGTTTTACTTGAGTCTGAAGAAGAGGTTGGGGGAATTCAAAACCTTGCACACGACTTTGTCCTGGTTAAGGCATTGGTCTCCTGTAGCTTTCTGATTTTCAGATAGCTTGATCGATGCAGCTCATCAATTTTCAATAAAACCAGACACCAGCTCAACATCACCCGGTGGTAGAGGCAACAGCCTGGATGAGGAGATAAACTGAAGAGTTGGCTGTTAGCTTGCATTCCTGGCCAGGCTTCGGCATCTTCTACAGCTGTATGAGAAACTGAAAATCGGGAAGTGACCGTCTCACTGCACCCCTCTGTATGTTGCTCTTGTGGGGCAGGTGGGAGGCAGTAATTCTAGCAGGCAGTTGCCCAATGGGACCTTCTTAGCCCCAGATTCTGGTAGTGAAAGCAGCAGCTGCTACCTGTGAGGTCTGCTGACTCCTTTTGTACTTGTCAAGGATTGTGCTTTATTCTGGACGTGGCTATTGTTGACTCTACAAGAAGCTTAAAACAGAGCTCTCAGGTTTAAATTGCTTTTGGCCCAATTGTCAGTGACTAAGTCAGGCCTGTGTACTCTGTAACGGTGCACCTGGCAGCCTAAAATCGAGCCAGCTGCTTCTAATAAGATAGGATTTGCAGGGGGGAAATAGGCCCAGGAAAAAATAAACTACGCATCTTGTTCATTCACTAAGGGTTATGCTTAGAACAAAGAGGCAGACCTGAGGAGAAAACCTCACTTTCAGCCAGAGGGCTGAGTTCAATTTCAAAAGTGGAGGGGGGGGGCATCCTGGTGGCTGGGACTGAAGCCATAAAAGGTGGGGCCCAATTACTTATAATAGTGTAAAACTCTTACTAGCTAAAACCTTTGGAGAGGCTTTTCACACCTTTAAATGGGGGGGGGGGGGGCTGCAAAAACAAGGAAACACTAAATAATATGGAGAAAGGAATCCCCAAAGAGCTGGGCTGGGACAAGGGCAGGGGGTCTCTGTTCCCCGAGCTTGAAATCCTGGCCCCCTGGCTTAGAGCCAGAAGAGCCTCACATAGAACTCAAGCTTCAAGAGGGGTGAATCTCCAGGGCCCCCAGAAAAATCCAAAAGACCTAAAAGCAGCTCAAGGAGGAGTCACAGAATGCTGCAAGTTTGAAAGGGGAGCAAGAAAGAATTCGTCTGGAGGAGCTGATGGCTGGAATCTTGTTCCCAAGGGTGCATGGAAGAAGGGAAGATACGCTGCAGTGTGTTCTTGGCAGTCGTTCTACGGTTGAGCAGTGGCAACTGGCTGCTCACCAGGGATCAGGACCAAAAGCCTCATCAATTTGGGGGACGTGGTCTGTGATCCCACCCCCACGAGATTCACTGAACGCATGAGGGGGTTCCATGGGTACTCCTTGCACCAGGGTGCGGGCAGACCTTTCAGCCTGTGGAAACTGCTTCAGTTTTTACTGGAACACCAAGACTCAAGCCAGAACCAGGCGCAAGGCAGCATCTCAGGAAGGTGTACGTATATTTGCAGGACATGGTGCCTCAGAGCACATGCTCAGCCCAAGGATTTATTTTTTAGTGCTGGAATGAGCTAGTAAACAGGCCAGCCTCGAGGGTGGGCAAGTTTGGGCTCGTGTCAAGGGCCCACACCCCAGCAAGGGCTTGCTGACAGAAGCCCCCTAAAGTTGCTCCTCCTCCATTGTTCCCCTTGCACAACCCCTGAAGACAATGATGGTGAAGAGGAGGAGGACAAGACGCCCCCCTTGCTCCTGGGCTCTCTGCCTGTCAGGCACATGGGAGCAGTGGCGAAAAAGAGGAGGTGGAACTAGACCAGCTGGCGACCGTGTTGGTGAGAAGGCTGACCTGCACTGCAGGGGTCTTGTCAAAGGCCCTGAAAACCCGGAGATCCGACACTGTTTGCACACAAGTCCTCTCACACCCAAACATATTCCTAATCCCCACATACACATTTTCTTGGTTTCAACCTCCAAATTAAAGCGGAAAAATAAGGAACTTTTCGGTCCCAACCATGAAAGGAACTTGCTTAGAAGCTGACTTCTGTTCCCAAAGCTCCAGAGGAGAAAAGTCCTACATCCTTTCTCAAAGAGAAAACATTCTTGCAATGAAAGAGGGGAGGAGGAGGAGGTTAAAGAAAGGGGTTAGCATGGGTTTCAGTTTCCATTAGTATTGTCAGCGTTCAGAGCAAAATTCAAGGCACTACCACCTTGTACGTGTTTGAGGCACTATAAATAATAAACCAAAAATACACATTACTGACCCATTGGGAGGGTAATCCAGTTCCAAGTATGTCAGTCATGTTTCCAAAACGGTCCCTTCTCCAAAAGGAAGGTGCTAGTTGAACTGCAAAGAGGACCTGCCTTCCAGTCTGACAGCTAAGCCCAAATGCTGCCTATCTAAAACAACTATTAGAGGAAGAAGAAAAATTATAATAGTGTCCTTCTCAAACAAACCAGGCAAGGAGAGTCTTCAACGACAGCAACAGGACCACCATGAATGTAACTCTTTAGTAATGGCAGGAATCTGCTTTTTTCTTTTCATTTTTGGCTCCAAGGAAAGTGAAGTTAATGTGGAGTCAACACAATCCACTGGCTTGTTAATTTAACGCACAGCCAGAGACCTGGCAAAGTGACAGACCCGAAGCATACAAACCCTTTGCTACAGAGGCCTTGATCTTGCTTTTGGAGGGCAGTCATCAGAAGGGAAATACTCTGTGGACAATCAGTCCAAAAATACACCCGAAGCCAATCAAGATGTACAAGACAGGGGCTCTGGGTCCACAACACAAGTTCCTTCATGACTGAGTGTGCCAATTCCCGAGCAACCAAACACGCCCGGGGTCCAGTCACAGGTGCTGTAGGGCCTCCAGACCTTGCTCGGTGTATGCATCGTCTTTGTTCGAGTCAGCCCATTCGCCAAAGGAACCCTGGAAGGAGGCATTTCTCGGCGTCGCTTGCATCCGTTTCTTATCCCGGGAGAAAAAACTAAACCTTCCAAACCGGTTGTGGGGAGGGGAACAAAAGCAAAAAAGACACAATAGAAGTTAAGACCTTGAAGCTTAGAGAAAAGATGGATCTGAAGAGTTAAAGACTTTAAAAGTGCCCAAATTCCAGCCGTGAAGACCAGAATCTGGTCTCTTTGGAAACCAACCCTGTGAAATCAGACGTGTTGCTATAAAGATCTAGCACAGCCTTTCCCAACTGTGCGGACCTCCAAGTGTTTCATGCGATGACTCCTAGCACCCCTCACCACTGGCCACCCTAGCCAGAGTGCAGGGGAATTTGTCCAAAACATCTGGAAGGCGCTCGGTTGTGGAAGGCTGGCCTAAAATAGCTCCACAAAGTCGGGTTTTCAGTTGTTCTGCCAAATGAGACAAAACAAAAGTGTGCCAACAGGCAGAATAATTTTAAAGTATAATTTTAATTATTTTGTTGTCTGGGTGGAGAAAGGGTTATCTTTATTGTGTTGATATTACCAGTTCTGAACACAAGGGAAAACACGGCCAAATCCCCTCTAGGCCAAAATGAGGAGAATTTTGGATGGACTAGCTCCAAGCACATCACGCAGGAAGCACAGAACCGACTCATAGTGCTTAGCATGGATTCTGGTTTTAAATTCCCGACTTGACCTTTAGCTCTGTTAATAGCCTTGGGCAAGCTTTCGCTCCGTGCCTCAGTTTCCCCCTGGTAGCAGGGGTTGTGGGGATGAATTAAGCGAAGAGATCTGTTTTATCAAGGGCCCATTATCCCTTTCAGATCTCTCTAGATACATTGTGGGCAGAAGGGAGGAACCTTAATTCCTACTTTTTCCAAAAAGAGTTTGTTATATAGCAGAGAGAAGAGGAGGTTGTCCCAAAGTTAAACATAATTCTAAACCCCCTGTGCATTAATAACTAGCCACTCTGAGTTTGGGCAGCACAATTTGTATGGCGAATAAAAGCACAACCCTATTCACATTTGCTGAGAAGAAAGACCCATTTAGTTCAATGGGGCATGCTTCCACGTAAATGTACCAGAGGCTTCGTTACTGTGAATTTCCATGGGCACAGCACAGTCTATCAGCACCATCAACCAAAAGTTTCCTTTGTGGCAGCCGCAATTACAACCTCAATTTAAGACACAGAAAGTGGAGTAGGAGACACTGCGGGTACCTGGTCGCCCAAGTGTCACACGAAGCATTTTTCCAGGTGGGACACAGAGAGCGAAAGGGACCACCAGGTGCTTTAGTGAGCACAGCTGGGTCACACTCCCATTTTGGGCACCACCTGTGTCCTTCACTTCAGTGCATAATGGTCTGAAAGCACTTTGAACCATACAGCAATCGCCAGCTGCTGAATTCTGTAATGCCAGCAACCAATTTGAGACTTCTCCCAAGCTGACAGGCTATGCCAACCTTTGAAGTTTTGCCAGTTAAGCAATAAAGCATAAAGTATTTCACCTGCTGAAAACCAAATAAGGTGGGTGTTTTCCTTAAAAAAAAACGGCCACAATCTGTGAGTAGGGAGGCATTCAAAAGCAGGATTAAAATACATTAGTGGTTAATGTGCTCATCTCTAATGGGTCAATTGCCTTTCTGAGAAGCACATTGGTAGAACTCCATGGATGTCACAGAATGTTTACGAGAAAACGCTCATTCACCATGTTATTCAATAGTGTTGGTTGTGTAAAGGCAACACAATGTTGGCTACACTAGAAAAGCCTGAAGATTGCTTGGCAGGCCATGGAATTTCAGGTCAAGGGCTGTGAGTTGGGGAGCCAAGGGACCCGCACAGCCAAAAAATCAAAAGGCAGGGGCTGAATAGCATACAGAGTTGACTAGGGTTACTGAACCTCTCTCAGTCCAAGGGCCAAATTCCACCCCAGAGAAGCTCCCAGGGGTACATTCCAGTGGTGGGTGGATCACGGGCAAAAGGAGGGAGCCTCCAAATCCCAACTCATTTAAGGCTTTAAGGTTTAGGGTAACTAAGCCTTGAAAAGGGCTCTTCAGCTTTTACACAATAGAAAACAATGTGCAAAGGACAGGTAACTGGGGGAATGAGGACGGGGCCAGTGAAGGAGTGTGGTCACCCAGGGGAACCCCACGCAGGCCAGATTTGTGCCCCAAATCTGAGGGTTTGCACTCCTGGTTTGAAGCAACTAATCGAATACTGCTTGGAAGTCTCTAAAACAAAGTCACGGCCTGGAGGATGACCAGTTTAGACAAAATGGGGCAGAAAGGTTCTGATAAATTAGCAAGTACATCTCATGCAGCAAAGGAGCATTCTGATTGGCCACCTTTTATTTATTTGTTTGTCTATTAAAGAACATGTCTATGATCCCACAGTCAGCCAATGAGAATACAACCAGGGTTAAAGCGAGGAACAGCAATGTATCATGCAGAAACTAGGGGAAAAAGAACTCCACGATAACCAATTAAAAAACAGAAGTTCCTACAAGGGACATGAGTCTTCTTATTGGCTGCAATGTGGGATCATCAGGGATCAATCCAGCTGCTACCATGGGCATTATGGCTGTAAAAATCCTGGTTGGGAAAGTACAGAAATGAACAAGATAAGAGACTTAAGAAAGAAATTTCAGGCATTCAAATAGACACATGCAGAGAGGTAAATGCCAGGAGCCATCAAAACAAGAGACAGGGGTTAATTTAGGGACATTGCACACAGGATGTGTTATTAACAAGGTGGAGATGAAAGTCTGCATTGCCCCAGAAAGTCTCTGAAGTTGAGGAGAAATCTGCTGGGCCGGACTGATCAATTGGTCCACCTGGGGTAAGAATGCTCGGGCACCTGTCGAGGACCACTCCGCAGCAGGGCCCACGGGCAATCATCTCCCAGAGTCGCTCCTCCTCTTCACCATGCAGCCAGCTTGTTCACCTGCCTCTTGCTCTGACTGAGACAGTGGTGGTGGTGAGAAAGAGATGCAGGATGCTGAGGGACGGAGCCCATGAGAGTGTCTTGTCTAAGGGCCCTCCAAAAACTAGAATCCGCACGGATGTGTGCCCCAGAGAATCTTGGGGTATAAGAAGAACCCCGCTGAGTGAGGCCAATGGATAGGTCTAGCCACAGCAATTTGGCATAACGGCCAAAGTGAACCTCCATGTTTAGAGCAGTATACCTCGAAGTTTCAAATGCTGGGTATGGCTAACTGCCTGGCGCCATGCTTGTGAGCCCACAAAGGCATCTAGGTGGCACCCCTGAAAGGCACAGAAGGGGGGCATCTGGAGGGTTGAAAGAACCCCATGCGTTGTTGAAACACAAGATGTCTTTCTGGTGGGGAAGCCAAGGAGGAAGATTCCCCCAGAGGAGTCCAGGCACAGCCACAGAACGCCTTGGATTGGCTGCAGAGGCGGAGACTGGAAAACCGCGTAGTGGCAGAATCATCCTGGGAAAGGAGCATGGTGTCCTAGCACCCCGAACAGAGTCACTCCATGCTGCAAAGTTTTGTTGCAGATCCCACTCGTACAGACTAAATTGTTTGCGTGCAGGAGGCACCCGCAGATGGAGGAAACCCGGGCAAAATCTGGATGGCGGACCCAGTCCAAAATAACCCCGTGTGAAATGACCATCCGCAGCAGGAAAGGAATTCTGGCTGACAGAATGGCGGAGGGGCAGCGAAGACCCAGAAAACCAGGCGGGGTAATTGGGTGGAGCAGCCTGGGGAAGGCAGATGGACAGTTGGTCTTGCTGTTAATTAAGGACACGGCTGAGATGCTGCTAATGCTTTTTTTGTTTCCTTTTGCTGCTTCTGACCTAAACACAGCTCTGGAGACGTTCCCACCAGAGCGGCTATTATTAGAGCCGAAAACAACACACATGGCTATTATCCTGCACCGGCCATCTACGGTTACGCAGCGTGGCACACAAGGGCTTTTGTCTCCCTCCTTTTCAAGGGCAGCACCAATCACCAGGTCAGCAACAAACGAGCAAGACCAGCCTCCGGAAGAAAAGGACGCTTTTCTGCTCGGTGCGCGAAATTGGGCACGGCAGTGCTGGCTTTTTAAAAAGCAGGCAGAAAACAAATTCTCCCCAAGGACTGCCCTTTTAAAATTGGGTACCTTGCAAGTTTCTCGCAGGCAGCTGGTGCGGGGCGGGGAGGGGGAGTTCCCCCACAATTCAGCTTCTATCTCCAACCAGTTCCCCCAGTCGCCAAGCTTCTCTAATTACTGGACAGAAAGGTATAGATTGCGACTGAACTGTCAGGTGCAAATTCTGCCTGAATGATTAATTGGTAACCAAAATAAGGTTGCCACCCTAAGCCCATTTACTTGAAAGTTTTAATTTTATCAAAATTAAATAAGGCTTGTTTTAGAGAAACCTTGAAAGTATTAAGGCAAAACACTTCTTGATTGGAAATCTAATGTGGAAGTATAGCTCAGCTCTGACCTTCCCTAAATTCACTTCATTCCTTTATTCTGCTGCATCCATTTGTTGAACCACAACTCTCATCAGCTTCAGCTAGCGCCCCCAAGGGTCATCAAAGATGGAAGTTGTAGTCCAAAACATACCAGTCAGCACCACATAAGGCGGCTTGTAGTACAGCATGGGAACTGGAGATATGGTACAGTCTCCCTAAGTCTGGTACAGCCTTTGCAGGATATACCATTCTAGAATGCTGGGTTGGCAGGACATGAGATCTTATCACCTGATCACTTTAACCGACATTTTAAAAAATAAAGAAATCTAATTCTTTCAAGGAGAAACATTCTAGAAAAATATTCTGAAAAATTGTAAAATCTTGTTTAATAGAGTAAAACGATTTTTGTAGCTGCAAAAGTGGGAATTATACCTTGAAGAATGTGAAGTGTAAAAGGGGTGGGCTTTGTGATATTATTCAAAGCATGTATAATAGATTGTTGAATATATCCTTTAGAGCTTTTGTTTAAAAGCACTGACACCCAAGAAACACTGTGGAGTACATTTGCCATATTTAAAAAGATGCACATTTTTAAAACATTTAAATAAGAATATTTAAAAAGAAGATGAGATACATCCCCTGGGGACAGGATTTGTGGTTTGTCTGGTTTTGAGAAGGCCTGCTCTCGAAAGAAGATACTACTTACAGCCTTTTGATTCCAGATTCTTGCTGAGTAGATGGCTTTGGATTAATTAGGGTCGTGGGTTGTGGAGGCCTCGTTTCTTCATCAGCCTCATCACTTGAAAAAAGCAGAAGATAACACAGGCACAAGTTGAATGCCGAGTCCTGGTACACCTGGGGTGCAAAACCTCAGGCCCAGGGGCCAACTCCAGCCCACCTGAGGTTCCCCAGGCATCTACACCTCCATTTCTCAACCCTCCCTGTCCTGTACAACCATTGCCCATTGGGTGGCTGCCCACACCTTTCACACTTTTATCCCCCACCATAAAAGGTCAATATGCCTCTCCTTAGTTCCCGACAGCAAAAGCATTACATTAAAATATGCTGGTGTGTTGGCATTGCCCCTTTCACCTTTGGCTCTCCCCACCAACAAAATGTGCCCCCCGAAAAGTCTCTCCAAATTTTAAATTGACCTTGGGCTGCAAGAGATTCTGCACCTTTGTCTCATAGGATAAGTTTTACGATCACACCTGCGCACATGCGTACACACACAAGAATGGAGAGACAGTAGGTTGGCATCTCTGCACATGCTTAGTGTGACAAAACGCAGCCAGGCAATGGAGAACAGGACCCACGGTTCGGACCACAGCTGGAAAGTTTGCCGCACCGCAGCCAATCTTGCTGAACTCAAACCTGCTTGGCCCCACGTCACCCCGTACAGATGGAAAGCTGCAGCATACCTCTTATAATACAGAAGCTCCTCTTGCAGCAAAAATACTTTAGACTTCAACTCATTCCTCTCGTGCAAAACATCCCGCAGCTCTTGCAAAGTAAATCTGGGACGGTTGGGATCTTTCAAATCCATGGCCATCTTTTCTGATTCTGAGATGTATTCCTCCTTGTTTGGTTCTTCCACCTGAAGGAACGCAGAGTTGGGAGTTAACACTTTGGCTCGGGTGACGCTAAAAGACAGATTTGCTGCTGGAAAAAGTCTGTCATTTTTATAGTGTTGAATAATAAGATAGCATGTGTCTGTCTGCACCATGTGCCAGAACCATGAAACCCAGACTTTTGAATCTTGGCATGCATACTGAGAGGGTGTGCGTCTCAGGGTTATTTTGTTTCTAAAATGCATTAATTGGAATTAATTTTAATGCGTCCGTTGAAGCCTACAGTAGGATCTTCCGTCAGTCGACAGAGGCTTTCCTAAGTAACACATCCCTTTGCTGATTGCACTGTTTGAAACCTGAGTAAATTAGCAGGCTGAAGGAGAGAACTGTACACCTGGCTCCCCACCATGCTATGGGGCAGCCCCCCCTCAGGAAAGGGGAGTGGACACGCCTCCCCGCTAAGGACCGTACCACTGCGGGGGCTGTGTCCAGGAATACCCACAAACCAAAAGCAGTTTGGACCTGTGCAAAACCAGGTCCGTTCAGAAGAAATACTTATCCCACCTGTCAGGGCCGACTTCAAATCTTAAAGAAACAAAAATGTAAAGAACCACCACACACCGCTGACATGTAGCCCGTTGCAAAGGGCCACATACCCTCCCTCAGAACAAACCGCTTGGTGGACGGCTGGTTGGCTCCTGAAAGGGAAGCCCCAGGGCCTGACTCGGTATGTGTTTCCAACAGCCTCTTGCCATTCCCAGAACGATAAAGCCACAGCGAAGCCCAAATTGCCAATTAAGAGTTGTCCAGGAACAAAAAGGCCCTTGGGAAGAAAATGAGTCTTTCCCTAATTTGTATTTTATTTTATTTCCTGTTTTCCTGGGCCATCACATCTGTACCCTTGGATCAAATCGGCTTGCCCTTTCCTGCTGTTTAATATTGTTCTTCTCCCCGGGAGGAATCGGCTCTCCTACCACATGCTGTTCGGGGAGTCAGACGACACTGAGAAAAGATGCAGCCAAGGGACATGCCAGCCAAGTGTCTCATCCTGGCCGGGACGAGCACATGGCCGGTTCATCTCACTGCCTGAGCAAGTAATTATAGCCTAGCCCTAGCAGAGAAAGCTGGGAACAGCTTTGTTTAGCAGAGGAAGCTGGGAACAGCTCTAATGAGCGAAGAGAAGCCCTCTCCCAGAAACGGTCAAATTACGAAAACAGCCTGAGAAGACAGCCATTCTCTCCCCAGGGTACAGCAACAAAGCGAAACTTGCCCCTGGCCTGGGCCCGGCAGAGGCACGGTGCCAGAGTCAGAATTTCGGATTTCATTCATTCCATCAAGAAAAGCAAGAGCTGGTTTTCCCTGTCCCGGCTGCTTGGGAGAGAGTTAGAGTTCGTGGAACAGAATCGTGTTAGATATCTGATAGGGTGTGGACAGCAGACCTAATCCGCTTCTTCCAGGTTGGCCACCTTAGGGTTAAGGGAGCCCCTTCTGGCCACAGGTTTTATGGCAGGGAAAGTAAACAGAAATAGAAGTGCGGGGGGGGGGGGGATGGCGGTGAGCCTGAGGACCTCTTTTTGCCAACCTCCACAGGCAGTTTAAAGGCTTCCCTGTTTTTATTTTACAAACTGAATGACTTAATTTAAAAAGAAGCAGCAAGGAAAAATATTGTTAATGGTTTCGGAATATTCCAGCTTCTGGGCAGCCCTGCCTATTTCAACTAACAAAAGTACAACACAGGCAATTGTCTGTTGTTGGCACAACTATGTCTAATTAAATCCCTGGAATGGAAGCATTTTCCAGAGAATACCATGAATTGAACAGTAGCCCTGGAAATCTGAAAGGCGGAAAATAAACCTGCCATTCAAGCAGTCCCAGGAATACTGATATCCAGTGCTTAAAGAAACATAATATTAAGATTCCGCAAGGAGAAAATCTGGATTCTGGAAGCCGCACGAGTGGAGAGACACTGCAGTTTAGGGTGCAATCCTAAGGTTCCTGAGTCCCAGCAATTAGGCTGGGGTTTGGGACCCCCAGAATTGCACCCCGAAAATGCCCTGCTCCCCTTCCCACAAAATTCAGGAAATGCTGCTTGCTCTCCAGCTCCCTCACTTTCTTCCCATTCACTAGGCATTGTTTTCTTTTTCAAACCCAGCTCTGTAACCTTGAGAGCTAGAGGCTTGTTTTAAAAACAATAACCATACAGTAACAAAAGACCCCCCTCCCAAAAATGATCATAAGGGTTCTATCCAGTGTCACTTTTAACTAGTATCATGCAACCAATGCAACTGTTACCTGTGAAAGATTCCCTTATAATATAAACTGAACCATAAACTGGACCGCACGATTATAAACTGACCCATTTCTTTTTGGAAAACAGAGTTTCTCTAGTTTCCTGTCCACAGGGATAAAATGACCAACCCCAAAATTATTAGGAAAAAAATCATAGTCTTGGCCCTGGGAAGGAATCCTTCAAGCACACAGAGTTTGTGGTTTAAATTTAAATGTTTATTTTTTAAAGAGCAAGTTCCTTGGCTTCATCCTCACACTGAAGCTACTTCTGAAGCCAGCCCTGATCATCACCTGCTTCCTTCTTAGCAAAACAAATAATCAGTCTGAACATAGGAAACACTGAAGCAGAACACATAGATACCTAAAGTGTTGTCAAATGTTCTGCAATCAGAATTTGAGGAGTCTGGCTGAAGAATTTAGATTTGGGAGAATGGAGGAAACTCTGCATTTTGTGCTGAAGTGGCTGTATTTATTTTCCATCTCCCACAATATCCTGAAAGATCATGGTCCACACTTTGTGGTCTCCAGCAGTTCAAACTTTTACTTTTGATTTTCTACCCTAAGCTTCCACTGGCTAGTAACAACTGAGTTCAATGCCAATTTCTGCAAGGCCCAGACGTAAATAAGAAAGGCAGACATGCTTCCCAGTCCTAATCGCCCAGCAGCGCAGAAGGTTCGGAATATCAAATGAGCTCATCTATTTGAAAACCAAAAATTGCATTGCAAGGGTGGTTGGGGGAGGGGTGCCCAAGGCACAATTCTGGCCCAGGGTACACATTCCGGTTTATCCACTGAGATGCAGCCAACTCCAGTCCTAAAATAGCGCCTGTGGGTTCTTCCATCCATCCAGTTCAGCACTCTGATTCCCGAAGTGGACGCCCAGATGCATGCAGGACCGTGTATCCAGAAGCTGCTGCATCCACCGGATGGGAGGCCAGTTGCCCGTCTCCCTGGAGACCTTCGTGGGCCCTGTGGCAACGCTGAGCACGGCCACGCCACTGCTTTCGTCCGCCCCAGCTTTAAAGGGGTTCCATGCTGCGCTCAGCATGGAGGGCCAGCACTGGGAGAAGGAGCCCCTCGTCCCAGCTCATCTGAATCCCTTGCTCTGAGCAGTGCCCACCCTCCGCCCTGCCAGCACTGTGGGAAAGTGGCAACGGCACGGGACCCTCAGGGCCACCTCTCCCACAGCGCCTCACGCTGAGGGAGGACCCCTTTCTGCAAGAGTGGCGGGGCGGCCAAGGTGGCCCCAGGAGTCCCAAGAGCCTCCACGCTGTTGCTGATCGCACCGCGGCAAAAAGTGCGGTGGCAAAAGCAACGCGCAAGGCGGAACAGAGGAAAAGGGAAAGGCGCTCGGCTTCTCCTCTTGCCTCAGGGGCTGCAAGGGGCCACCAGCCCACCGGGCAACCTTTTGCTCTCCCAGACTAACCCGCCTGGAGACAAAATGGATTGGAGGGGGCGAGAGGTAAGATTACAAGCTGGCCACAGACAGGATGACGCCCCGTCCCATTCCGGGGGCAAAGGCTGACTGGACGGGCAGACGATGTGTTCCTGCACCCGAATGATGGGAAAATGTTCTGCACTGAACTTGAAGGTCGCAGGCTAACGGAGGGGGCATGGCAGACGCTGCGAGACACACACCTCTGTGGCTGAGGGAACCGCTTCACGGTGCCCGATCGTGGCGCCTACTCCGAGTCGCTTGTAGGAATAGGGGCACCAATTCAATAAACCCAAACCGAGCCGAACCAAACCAAAATCAATGTACAGGTAACAAAGCTCCACCTACCTGAATGTCTTCTCCGTTTTGGCTAGGTTCTCCCTGCACTTTCTCTCTGAGCTTCCCCAGCTCAGTCCTCAATGCTCCCATCTCCTGCTCCTTGGTCTGTAGATACGCCTCTAACTCGACTTTCTGCTCGATCAGGGCTTTCCCTTGAGCTTCCACAACGGTTATTCTGTGGCGAAGGTCATGGTTAATTTTCATTAGTCTGTTTTGCTGCTGCTGAAGCTGCGAGAGGATGCGTACGAGAGAAAGCGGAGCAAAGGAAGAAAGTGATAAATCAGCACCATCCAATTATAAAGCATTCAAATGCAAAACAATTTCTATTTCACATGTAACAAAAGGACAGGCATCCGTCCATCCATCTGTGTCATGGCCTCAAGATCAAGAAACCTAGCCATCTAAAGCTCAGCATCCATGCTGACAGGATCCTAAGGGTGCACACCAAGGGGTTATTTTGACTTTTTAATGTGCTAATTAATTTTAGTATGACCATATGGTTGCAACTGTGGGAAATTCTTTAGTTACTAAAGGCAAGGCATCTGCGAGCAGCAAATACACACAAGCCATACAGTTCGAAGGTGAAGGGCATCAGCAAGCCAAGAGACAGAGGCCTGGAATTTCTTCCCCCTCCCCACGATGGGGCAGCTGCCCCTCAGCAGAGTGGAATGGGCAGACCCCTCCATCTATGGGGATGCCCCATGGCCAGGCTGTGCCTAGGGGAACAACCAGTTATGCTGCCATTTGGAGAATGTGTCCATTCTCTGCTGGCACAGCCACCAGCCAAGGGACACGGATCCTGCCTCCTCCTCCCCGAAACAAAATGGATTTAGGGATTAGGCCTTGATCTTAACTGTTGCTTCACACTGCTTCCGCATCTCTCCCAAAGGGGGAGAAAAAGATACTCACTGCTTCAACATCCTCATTTTTAAGTCCAAGTTCTCTGTCCTTTGCTCTGATTTCATCCCTTTGCTTATCAACGACTTCCTTCAGTTTTTTCATTACTTGTCTTTCCCGTTCTGACATTCCTGGTATAAAAAATGAGAGAGAAACAGCCGGTGACAGCAGGAACCGGTTGCTACATCACTCCTTCTATATGAACACCTGGGATGGCTGAGAATACCCAGTTCATCTGGCAGGCTCCGACACCTTTAATCACACAACAGGCAGAAATTCAGCAGGTTTGTTCCTTCCACCGGAGGGTCTTTGAGAAAGTTGGCATGTATTGGGATCCAGAACCGGAAGATACTGTGATGGGAATGTGTAGCCCCTTGTTGGGCTAAGCGGGTGTGAGATCCTCAGCTGCCAGGCCCTGTGGCTGCCTTGCCTCGTTTATTTATTTATGTTATTTATTTATTATTTTATTTATTTATTAAAACATTTCTATGCCGCCCCTTGCCGAAGCCTCGGGGCGGCTCACAACACAATAAAATACAAAAATAACAATATAAAATTAACAATAATAAATAACAATATAAAAGAAGTCGCCCTGGCCAGATAAAAAGCAGATATTGTTAACAATTAAAATGACGCTTAAATAAAAAGGTCTTCACCTGGCGCCAAAAAACAAATAACGACGGCGCCAGGCGGACCTCTCTGGGGAGCGCATTCCATAGATTGGGCGCCATCTCGTTCTTGAGATAAGGACGGTTTGCTGGAGACACCTGGGACAGCTGGACCTCCTCCTGCCCCCAGGAAGGGACCGGCTTGGGGACACTGATGGGCTCTGCAGCGGAGGGAAGGGAAGCTGCGCCTGATCCGTGTCAAGGGTGTTCTTTGGTGCTTTGCTTGGAAGACGGAGCTCGCAAGGTGTCCAAATGACTAGTGTGCCAGAGCGAGATTTGTCCCTTGGGAGGCCTCAAGGGGACATCTGCAAGCTTTGCTTTAACTTGTCTGCTGATAACCGGCAACTGTATTTCCTCACTGCATCTCCTCACTACTTCCCCTCACTACTTTTCCACTTCTTCATTCAATGCACTGAATCTCATCTTTGACACAAGACATTTTGCTTATTCCTAAGTAACCTCAAATCAAAAGTGAGAGGTCTTAGCTGAACCAGGCCCCTGGGGTTAAACACTGCACCTGATGAATTTCTGCCTGTCACACAGCCATTCACAGCACAGCACCCTTGCCAGAAAAAACGTGGCAGTATGGAACAAAAGCACAGAACATCTTTGAGGCAAAGAAACTCTGCCTGTCCAAAACAGATTCACCGTCTCCTCCATTGCTCCAGTCTCTATATTCAAGGGCATGATCCGAAGGCATATAATCCAGTCACATTCCCAAACCTACTTCAGCCACAGCACAAACTCTGTGCAGGGTTTGTCTACTCAGAACTAAATCCACAGAGTTTAATGAGACATACTCATAGGTAAGGATGTACAGGATTTCAATCTGGGTCACTCTGCAGCTAGGTACAAAACCATCCTGGAATCCAATACATGAAGGCCCTTTCCCCAAACCAACAAGAATTTGGTGTTTTCCCGGCTTTGCTACAGTTCTAAAGGTTAAAATCCCCCTCCCAAGGCTTAGTTACTGGCAGTAAGAGCTTTAAGCTAAATTAAGCTGAGATTCTTGGTTACTTGCTACACTGGACTACAGAAAATATCCTACATGCTAATGGAAACCTCATTATCCAAGTGCCAATCCTTAGGAAACCAAAATGGCACCAACAAAAGGAAGCCCCCTCTATTTTTACATGCTCTGTGCGACAAGAATTTTCTTCCTTCCTTCCTCCCCATGTTCCCAATTTGGTTCTGTTTTTTTTCCAGGAGCGGTGACTGATTCTCAATCCCTTTCTAAAACATCCAACAAGGATTTCCTAGACCAAATCAAGGGTGGCTGTTTAGAAACAATGGGAATTTGAGTATTAAAAGAACAGAACAAAGAGAACTACCCAGGCCTGAAGTTTCCAACTGGGTCAGGGAGGCAGTGCTCAGCATCTCAGAAAGAGAATATCCTCTTAGGGCAGTCCTGCTAAGAAGAGGTGGATATGAAGGACTCTATCCAGGTGTGTAAGTCTTCCAACCACATCAAAAGGATGCTCAGAAGCACCTGTGTTTATACAAGCCCTCTAGGGCAAATCATCTCTCTGGTTTACCTGCTGGCCACTTCCTAAGCTTCTGCTGTGACTCTCAACAGTCCTGTTCAGCTGGTTTGTTCATTTGCCTTTCCCAGCAAAAGTTCTTCAAACCTCCCCACTTCGGCAATATTTGCACATATCTACACAGCGCTCTAATGGACTCTAAATGTGGGCATGCGTGCCGGGCCGTAAAAGGCGGTGTTCCAGTGAATGCAGTTCCCCCAACAGAATCCTGTTTATAACAGCACAGCAGTGAAGGCTGCGCTCTTGGGCAAGATTAAACAAAACTGAGTCTTACGACCCAAGGTAGCATGAAGCATGTTAGGGAATTGCAGGTTCTTCTTCCTGCCTAAACATGTATAGGATCGCATCCTAATTCATGTACAGACTTCAGTCAGAATTATCTGTAGGGGAACGTAGATGGCCGGGTTGGTCGGTGCTCTGCAGCCTGATCCTATATATGTTTACTCAGAAGAAAGTCCAGTTGTGTTCAGTGGGTCAGGCACTGTTTTTATTCTAAGCCCTTTCTAAGTGTGTGTGTGTGTGTGTGTTGCAGAGGTCAGAAGCCTCGCACATGGGTTAATCAGCTCACCAACAAAGCCATGTCTGTTTTATCACCCAACAACTGCTTTATGAATGGCCAACATAAATAAGAGGATTATCAATGTCTGTTGTACTTTCTGCATTTTGGTTTCCTCGGATCTGAGTTTAAAAATATACCTTCGTGTGCATGAATATGTACTTTATATATATGAAGGTACACGAAGTACCTTCATGTACCTTCATATATGACTCAAGATCTCCATAATTCTTCCTATATCCAAAGAAATGATATACACATGGATTATGGCACTCATCTCCAACTTGGTACCTGCCAGATGTTTTGGGATACAGCTGCTAGCAACCTCAGCCAGCAAGGCCAATGGTAAGGCGGTTTGAGGGTTCTGGAGGGTACCAGTTTGGAGATGAGCGCCATAATCAATGTGTTAGTCCTCATGGTGCCACAAGACGCGTTGGTTCGCTACTGCAGACTGAGGCTTGGTTATGCCTCTGGAAATTAAAACCCAAGCGATTTTTTTGACTGTATGGTAGCAGCCTTAAGCTTTTATTAGAATGTCATTTTGGGGTAATCTCATCACAAATACCCAGGAATAAGCCCTACCAAAGCCAGGAAGCCTTACTTCTGGGTAGATATGTATATATTTTTGTATACATATTGCACTCTATGTTGGTCTGTAGCCACACTGAGTTCTATTGGCCTGAGTTCTGCTTTTATTTCTGCTAGTTCTTGTTTGTTTTTAGTCTAATTTATCACCATTTTAGCCATGTTTCTTTTAATCATGGTCTTATTACCAGCAGCTGTATTGAAGGTCAGTTTTGGGGTGTGTGCAGATGGAGCAGGGCATAAAATCGAAGAAAATATTGCATGGACCCCTTTTCTTCTCAAATTATAATGGGTTATAATGATAATGTGCGAGAGAATCCCGAGAGGGGAGAAGGGGAAACAAGCGGCACTGCGGATGTTCCGTTCTAACCCTCTGTACCTCCTGGCGGAATGAAAAGGCAGATGCGACACCCACCACTTCGCAAGAAGGTTGTTTCATATAAAAATAGTTAGATGAGAAATACGAGGCCCGGTGGGTGGCTTGCAAAAAGAGCTGTCGGTGTGCCATTAATTCCTCCACTGCACAAGTTGTTCAGGGATTTGCTGCTGGGAGTGGGGACCCAGAGAGAAGGAAGGTGCAAGCCATCACCTCCCACTCCCCAGAAGTTCAAAAGTAAACCCACAGACAGCTGCCAAGAAGCCCACACTTGCCTTCATGCTTCTGGAACTCTTCTTCCAAGAAGTTCACGTCTTTGTGGGAGAGGTTGGTCATCAGCTGCTTATTCTCCTCCTGGAGCTGCGCGATCTGAGTGAGGAGATCCTGGGCTTCTCCTCGCCAGACGTCCTCCACCAATTCAAGCTCCTAAAGGGACAAAGAGACGGCGTCTTGTCTCACAACCCAGGCCTCCCTCCAGGCTGTCAAAGGCCTCTGATTCAAAAGGCCATGGTCTCGGAGGCATAGGAAGGGAGTGCCCTTCTCCATCCAAGCTAAGGGGCTCTGGGGTTGACCAGGGACCAGAAGCAAGGCCTCCTTGGACCCCACACTGGTGCCTGGAGTTCTCTGATGGAAGCAAGGCAACAGAACGATGTAATAAATGAACACAAATAGATTAGGAGCAAAGCAATCTGCCTCATATCAACTGGGACCACTAGCCCACCTTCTTCAGTATTGACTACGCCAAGAGTTTTGGCCCACCTTCATCTGGAGGGACAAACAGCATTTTGGAGCTCTTGGAGGCTCTGGTTCAGTGGTGGGAGGGGCCGAAGGAGGGAGGCTAAAGATAGCCATGAATTTTAGTTCATCTCATCTCAAGCTTCCAGAATGGGGGAAATGATGGGTGCTCGGGGGAAAAGGGGATGCGAAGGAGTAACATGTTCGTCGGAAGGAGCCTGGAGGACAGCTTGACAGGCTGGTTGGGCTACATCTGGCCTGTGATGCTGAGGTCCAACTCTACTGAATGACTGACAGCTGCTGTAAATCAGATGTGCTGAACCTGAGCCCCAGGGGCCGAACCTGGGCTCCCCCTTTTCCCCTTAATCACCCACCATTTTCCTCATTCTGAAATGCTGCAATGCCTGTCGTAAAACACAAGGCTTCTGGATTTCACGAGGGGCCTTTCCCAGCTCTTCCTGGAGATGCTAGTAGCGTCTCCCTCCCCCAATTTCCAAGGGCCCCGGGTGGTACTTGCGGAGTAAACAGCGACTGAGGTCGATGAGCTGGCCGGCCACCTGAAGGAGGCAGGTGGGATTTGCCAACTTTCTAATTAGACCATGCTCCGGTGTCTTTTACAGGAGCTCTGCTTCTGCTGAAGTCACGAGAACATGCGGCACTCTGCTCAGCTGGCAACCCCACTTGGTGAGCATCATAGTGGGCCCTGCCTTAAGTTCCGATGAGTCTACTCTAAGTAGGACTAGGACTGGCTATAACTCACTACTTGTCTATAATGGTTCTACTGGCAAGGGGGCGCATTAGATCCACCTGCTCGTCCTACAAAACGAATCAACAAGTGTTTGTTTGCTCTGGGTCTTAACTGGCATTATTGTAAACTTCCTTGTTCCACTTCCTCTGATTTCTGCAAGGAGGGAGGGAGGGATTCCAGCTTTTTGTTCCACTCTCCAGACATTTCTTCCTTTGGTTCCCCTTCTCTCTCCTTGCCTTCAAACTTGCTGAGCAGGGTAGAATCAAAATGTCATTTCTGCATTGCTCATGGGGAATCGGCCCATGTGGAGACACAGGAGCAGGCAAGGGGTGGGGGGCACCTATTTCTTCTCCACCCCCACCCTCCCCACAGACACACACGCCCACCCTCCTCAGACTAAGCTTGGAAGTGACACGCAGGGAATGAGTCGAGTGAAGGTGCATTCCGAGTTCAGGCAAAGCGAGGCTTACAGCATGAGTGTCTTGGGGTTTTTCCGATCCTCCCCTCAGACTCAACGTGGTTTAGGCTGCAATCCTACACTCACTGGCTGGGAAAAAAGCCCAGCCGAACCCAACAGCACTGACTTCCACATAGATGTGTACAGGAGGGCTTCGTTGACATGACTAAGTCTGCTCCAACAATTCTACCCTTAGCAGAATGCGGGGGGGGGGGGGGCTCCAGGTCCAGAAGTCCTCCCAGGGCTGCTGCCCTGAGCTAAGGGCCAATTCTCAAAGAGCGCAGCTTTCCAGGGCATGTGGGCCTCCCTGGAACACTCACTCCCCATCCACCAGAGATGACAACTCGGCTATTGTTGCACAATCAATTTATTCTGGGCACACGCTGAGACAGAGCAGTGAGTCAAAGGCCGGTTCCCTTTGCACGGGTTGCTGACTCTCTCTTAGTCCCCTGTTTATTTCTTTAAGGTGCAACCAAATTGGAGGTTGATGCCAGTTCAGAGCATTGTTCTAGCAGGGGAACTGAAAGGATGCATAAATCTCTAGAGGTCATATCCGGCTTTTTCCAGATCTCTGCTCTCTATCCTTTCTCGTCCCTTCCTTCCTTCCCCACCCTTTGCCTCTTTTTCCTTCCTTTCGGCTCTGTCACAGGGCCAGAGCTGAGCCTGCAAAGCCTCAACACCCCAGAACATGAAAGTAAAACCAGAGATCAGCTCCTTGAACGTGCAGAAAGCAATCCTGAGCACACCGTGCCTGTGAGAAAGCTCAGAGTTTGATGAAGGGACAACGCGTCCCTCCCCAAGCAGGTGCTCCCACACGTGTGCTGGACTACAACCCCAGGCTGGCTGGGAGGCACAGTCCAACACATCTGGAAGGAGGCTGGCCTAGTGGTGAGAATGCTGAACTACTGGGAGACCCGATTTAAAATTCCACTCAGGCAGGATGTGTGTGGCCTGAGACAGCTTCTCCACTGAGCCAACTTCACAGCACTGCAGTGAGGAGCAAAGAACGTTGGGATATATATGTCCATAGGAAGAGGATTGATTATTGAATGGGTTGATAGTTAATTATCTGAGAGTCACTAACTCTGTGTTGGAATATGGGCAGAAGATGATGGCTAGCCCCCAAGATGACAGAGACCCGACACCTAGGAGAGCTTCAGGCTTTACCTCCAAGCAAAGGACCGGCCTGTGCACTGCCAAGAAGGCTGCCCAGCGCCCGTGTCCGAATTGATGCTCTCCCACCCTGCCCTTCCGTGGAAAGATCCGCCAACGCACTCACGGGGTTTATCCCAGCATAAAGGGAGCGTGCCCTGCCCCTGCCCGGGGGCACCCATTCTGCAGACATCTTGTTCTAGGAATAGGAGCAAGCACATACTGGGCATGCCCTTGAAGATGACGAACAGGGATTTGGACAACAGGGCTGGAGAGAAACAGAGGCTGCTTGCCACCTTCGCCGCGTCTTTTAATGCTTGCTGCCTTTCCAACGAGGCCGTCTCTCCTCGTAGGAGGAGGGGCCTGGGCTTTCTGTTGGCCTCAGCAAACGCTCTGAAATAAATTTTTCTCCCTGCATACACGAAGGGAATCCCAACCGCTCTGAGACAGCAAACCTATGACATGGCTCCTTTTCTGGGGTAAACCCTCTTGACCCTAGACTCGGAGTCAGGCGCCCACTCCGTGGGAAACACGACTCTTTCCCGGGGTTGCATCTGCTTATGCCAACTTCTCCCAACCGGGTGCCCACCAGCCGTGCTGCACCACACGCCCCATCCTCTCCCTGTCCCATCCTCTGCACATGCGAGCGAGTTACGTAAGCCCAGGACGCCACGCTGAGGCACTCGCATCCATTCCAACGGAGTGAGGGGGGGGTGTGTGTGAGAGAGGAGGAGATCGGGGTCTCCACCAGGTTTCTTGGGGATCAGGCCCCTTGGGGGTCGAGTGGGGAAGAGCCTGGTCGTGCGGTGGAGCAGTCAGTGCTGGCCGGGCCTCAGGAGCTCTGGGCGGGAATCCCCACTCAGGCCATGGTGCTCACTGACTGATTTGGGACGCGCGTAGCCGCTCAGCCTACCCTGCCTCGCAGGGCCGTTGTGCGGGCCAGCGTGGCACAACGGTCGCCCTCCGGCTGGGGCAGGAGCCCCGAGTCCTAGACCCACTCGGGGTGGGGGCTCCGGGCCAGCGCCGGGCTCGCCCACCGCACAGGGCTGTCGTGAGGGGGAAGGAGCCGGCTGCGCAAGCCGCCGCGGGCTCCTCGCAGGGGACGCAGCGCTCGGCCCCCGGGCGCCCCGCCG